ATATGACTGTGCCCCAGGCTGTCATGGCCTATCCCGCTGCCAGCTGGTGGGCTTTCGTGATGTCATGTACTATTGTAAGCTCTTGCCCAATGATAAGCAGATCATTTCCCTAACGTGTGCGATAGATCTTGGAGTCATACTGTGTTTTCCTAATGGGTCAGTTCATAGCCACAAAGAAATTCGCCGAGGACTTTGGTGTATACAGCGAAAAAACAAATACATGGATCATCGAAGCTTCATGGCAGTCAGCATTCCAGTGTAGCGGGCCAATCGGTTGCATCATCGGTGTATTCGTCGCAGGCCCCATTACCAGTTGGATTGGATATAGATGGGCAACCATTGGCGGTCTCATGGCCTTGAACGCCTTCATCCTCATCTTCTATTTCGGCAACAGCCAGGGGATGTTTTTCGCGTCTCAGATCATGGAAGGTATCCCGTGGGGCATTTTTATCGCCAATGCACCCGCCTACTGTGCCGAAATCGTGCCAATGAGATTGAGAGCTCCGGCGACGCAGATGTTGCAGATGTTCTGGGCAATTGGGTCGATCATAGTCGGCGGAATCACATACCACTACCAATCCAAGTCTGACTCGTCAGCGTACAGGTTTGTCCGCTCGCATAGCTGTCATCGAGGAGCACTATACTAACAGTCATCCTAGGGTTCCCATTGCACTCCAGTGGATGTTCCCTACCCCCCTGGCTATCTTACTCTTCATTGCGCCTGAATCGCCTTGGTGGCTCGTCCGAAAAGGCCGTCTGGCCGAGGCGGAGAAGGCTGTCAAACGACTTGGACGCGCGAGTGCAACTGATAATCCCGCTGCCGCAGTCGCAATGATGCGTCGCACGATCGAACTCGAGGCAACTGAGAAGAAGCCCAGCCTCATTGAACTATGGAAGGGTACCGATCTCTACCGCACATTGATTGTGTGCGGTGTGTATGCCTCTCAGAACCTGACAGGCAATCTGATTGCAAACCAAGCCGTGTACTTTTTCAAACGTGAGTCCAGCCATGTCGTCCAAAGCCATAGCAGACTAACACCAGCTCAGAGGCCGGCATGGCAGACAACACCGCCTTTGCACTTGGTCTTATCACTTCTGCCCTCCAGATGATCATGGTGATGCTCTCTTGGATCCTCACCTCTTACCTGGGTCGACGCACCATCTATGTCTATGGCCAATTCATCAACTGTGCATTCTTGGTCGCGCTCGGCATTGCGGCTTCAGTTGGCAGTAGTACCGCGGCTAGTAATGCGCAAGCATCACTTGGCTTGATCGTCTCCGTCCTGTTCTGCTTGGGACCCGCTCCTGCCTCATGGGTCATCATCGGTGAGACAGCTTCCGTTCGTCTCAGGCCACTGACAACTGGTGTTGGACGAGGTGCCTACTACTTGGTCAATATTCCTTGCATATTCCTTTCCAGCTACATGCTCAACGATGATAAGTGGCACCTGGGTGGCAAGAGCGGCTACGTCTGGGCTGGCACCGCCTTTATCTGCACCACCATGGCGTGGATCTGGGTTCCAGAGATGAAGAACAGGTCCTTCCGTGAGATCGACATTCTGTTCCGGCGTCGTGTCCCGGCTCGCAAATGGAAGGAGACGGTCGTCGATATCCACGATGATGAGTAGATGGAACTTATTGTTCGGAGAAGTCTGAGTGGTACTGCTTGTGCAGGAGTAGGTGGTAGAGATGAGTGCCTTACTAGATATTTATGTGTAATAGTGTTCAAGATGGATTGAAGGGTGTGGATCACGGCGGAATGTACGACATCCTCTACTCTCGTCGGTAATGCTTGCTCTTGGTATAGCTGATCTAAGAGGCTACTACCACGTTATCCTGCCAGAGCAGGACAGCCGAGTCTGGCTCCTCGAACAGGAGATCACATTTCATTAACACTCACAGACCTCCAAGTATTAATTGAATCCAGCTATAATTCAATCCGACCATTGCACAAAACTCCCAGTGACAGCCAGATCAACCTCGGTTGTATAAGAAGAGCCACTGCATAAGAAGTAGGCGACTGGCAGTGACATCATGTCACCCGTTACCCCGATTCGGCCAAGAGAAGGTACATTCTGAAACATGTCCTTGGGCTCAGTAAACTGCTTGGACATATCAGTGGCGGTGAATACCGGGAAGGGGTGTTCACCCGTATATCTGATCCAGTGAGCATCGATAACCAGGACACCTTATTTGGGTATCAACTATTCTGGTACCGACTCAGGATGGATCACAGTCCATCTCAACCTTGAATCTTATTGAGTTATCATGACCTATCCCATGCTTTCTATCCTACCTTTGTCTTTGCTATCCATGCCTCCCATCTATAGATATAAAGGATATCAAGCAACGTAAGAGAACTATGTCTCATGTACAGTGCTAGTAAGCAAGAAAGTAGTCACTATAATAGTATTAATCCGGTCTCAGATGAGCTCCTGATACCGGACTACGCTCTGGGCCTTTACCCTATCTAGGGTGTACTATTGAACCTCAGCTGTCAAGGCCAATGCAATCCAACCAACGCATCGTCTTCTCTATAAATCCATTTGGACTGTAGTAGGGTTTTTATGGATTGAAAATCCGTACAAATAATACTAAATTGCTCTTATATTATTAATGGTAAGGTGATTCTCACTCTGGACAATTACTGTTATGCTAAAATAATCACTGTTATACACTATGTATGTCCCGCAGGAACCCCCTCTCCAACCCAAGAGATGGTCCTCTTCGGTAACCCCTTTGGGATAGAGGCGACTGGTATATTCAGCATATCACTGCGGCACACACATCATGAGTGGGAACTTGTGGTCTTTGGCAGGTGTTTCCCCAGCACGATACTGAACTGACCACCAGCGGCGGCTGATACCAGTTCATTACCGTCCACATACTTACTTTGAAGAAGAGTAGGTCTTTCTACCTCATCGAGACCAGGTTGACCTGCTTGACTTTGCACATTGAAGCCCCAGCTATAGGCTTTTCCGGCTTCGGTGATGACAAAGGAGTGATCCGACGCTGCGGTTGCGAATATTATCCGGTCACTGATGGCATTGAGCATATGCGGCTGCTTCAGAATGCGGGGTCTGCTGTATTCATCGTAAATGATATCTGACAACGGCATGTCTTCAACCCCCATTCCCAGTGCTTTATTATCAATACGACCCCATGTCAGACACCGGCCCAGCGCAGTAATGGCTATGCTGTGGTCCTTGCCACCGCATATGTTGACCGGTTTACCATATTTCCGCAGTCCACGAACCACCGTTGGAAACGCGGCAGTGGCATCAGGATGACCCGCGCTCATCGGAACCGCCGTTTGCCCAAAGTTGTTGGATCCCCATGCATATACCGCGCCGCTTCGATGCACCGCAAAGGAATGGTAGGATCCGACCCCAATATCTTCAATCCCGGAAGGAAGAGCACATTGGTCCGGGACAAGAGGATGGGCTTGATGCCGTCGGCTTGCGCGGCGTCTTCCTAGTTGATGCTGTTCATCACAGCCCCAGCTGAAGACCGTCCCGTTCGACGTCAGTGCGAGAATATGTTGGGCACCCGCAACGATTTTTACAACATCCCTGAGAACAGGAACCTGGACAGGAGTTCTCTGCTCTTTCTTACTTTCCGGTCCAAATCCAATCCCTCCATTAGCTCCCTGCCATCGTCAGTTGGGAAAAGATAAAGGGACACAGGACTCTAGCGAACGCACTCTAAAAGTTCCCCAGCCATAAACTAAACCCTCTGTGGTAAGCGCGAAAGTTGCACTGTCCGATGCTGCCAGTTGAGCGAAGACGGTTCCCTTGGGGAAGAGCGATGGATTCACAGGTTGTGGAGTTGCTTCGTTCAGATTGAGCGTGATGTCGTCATCATCGCTCTCTTGCTCGGACTCCGCTTCACCATTGACATTATTCGCGCCATCCCTGTCGGTGTCCCCTTTCTGCTCCTGTTTCGTATCTCTCCCCAATGTACCCTCGTCGTTGACACCCCAGGTGAGGATGCGATTGTCATGAGTCAAAGCGGCCGAGTGAACTCCTCCAACACTCAGATGAACCACTCCCACACTGTCGGCGGCCAACTTCTGGTTGAGGACTGGCCGGACTATTTCTGACTTCTTCGTCAGGTCACCAAGACCGAGCTCGCCATAGCAATTGGTTCCGAACACGTATACATCTAGTAGCTGGGTCGGCACAAGATTCTGCAGTACAGGTTGCTCTACACGGCGGGTGCGACGAGGTCAGCAAATTGAAGACGCAAGGGGGGAACAAGAACCGTTTACCTTTTCGTCGCTTGGTGTCTTTTCTCTGTAGATCTTGCCTTTCGTCTTCCACGAGATTGGCATGCCTCTTTCGTTCCCGGGACGCGAGGGCCGACTTCGCGTTCGGCTCCTGCTTCTTGGCGCCTCCGGCAGACTTATTCTTCTGGCCAGTGGGGCCAGCGCGGCGTTGAGGCATGTTTGGTTGAAGTGTTGTAGATCGGAGTCAGAGGAGACTGAGGAGTTGGCTGCCGTGTGGAGGGAAAACATCCCGGCACCAATAGGAACGGGGGATGGGCTGACCCGTTCGGCGAGGTGCTTTTGCGGGCGCGGGTGATCAACCGATTCAACCCATCCCATCGAGTGCGGCCGATTGGCTGCTCCGTATCGCGGATTCGCGGTTGAGTACGGAGTAATATCGGTCCGACAGATTGGCCAGCGAAAATCACGTGGCATAGGCCACCAGCTGAAGAAGCGCTCGGGGCCCACCGAGAGTGGAGTGTGGATATGACAACCTCCTGTGTCGACATTGGAAAAATTTGATTACGTTAGAAGCCTCATCTCTCGTCACTATCGTCTCCGTTTGCCATTGTAGCTCGTATCGTAATGAGCACAAGATCTCTACACTGGCTATCGAGCAGCCACAGTGGGTATCGGTTGTAATACAAGTCGGGCGCGGCTTACATTTCCAGGACAACGTCACACAGCCTTGACATTCATCAAGGGCCATCGTGATTTAGTGTCTTGGGAATATTCATACATGCAAATCGTGCTTTACAGCAAGCATTCCCATAGACAGCGCCAGTTGATCCGGCCATGCCGGAAGTTGATTCTCCAGAGTCTCTTTCTTACCCATTGTCATACGAGGAGTAGTCGCTGGGGCGGGCAGTACATCCCACACCGGTAATGTAGGCATTGTTGGATTTGTGGATAGCTGGCGATGATCGGACTGAGTAAGTGCGATAATCTGGTCTAGAAGGGCGAGAGCCGACAGAGCCCCATGACCAGCAAAGTGCCTGGTTTTCTGGGCCACTGGAACTGGAATTAGTGCAATAAGGTCTGGTTTGTTTCTCAGCGCCTCACTGTCTAGTGAGACTGGAAATACCGACTCCAGTTGGTTTCTCAGGTGCTGGAGCCTTCTCCTAGACCGCATGGTTTCCTGCCTCAGTGTCTCGCGCATGGAGTGATCTGTTTCATCATTTTTGATCACTGCGCAGGCGCGAGCGTAGAGACCCGGACACTTAGTTATCTCGATAAAGATAAGCTCGACTAGATTACCGAGCTGGCTGCCCTTTCCATTTCCACTTTCCTTGACGAGAGTGTCGCCGAGCGCCGATTGCCATGCTGGCTCAGCTAAGAAACACGCTTCGCCTCGAATGAGCGCGTCAGCCACTATGAATGACTTGAAGGAAATTAATAAAGTACGACCAAACCCACTACGGTGAGCATTTGGTCCTCGCAAGCGAATTAGGGTGGCAATACCACTGGAATGGGTGAGCCAGGACTGTGGTGTGATCGGATCCATCATCTCGTAGATGCCGAGCATGACGGCGATGGCGAGGGTCATGTCCGATCGGGCGAATCGGGGTCGTCGTAACAAACCACGCAAGCCATGAATCCCCCGACTATACATAGACCTACTCCTAGCAATCGTATCTTGGTCCTGGTGTTTCATGCCCAGGTGAAGGGTACCCAGACACCGGAGACTCCAGACAAAGGGGTCCAGCGTCGACTCGACATGGCGACGCGCGAAGTTCATCCAATTCACTGATAAGCGAGCACTGTACAAATAGTAGAGTCCGGGGACTGTAGCGTCTATGAAGAATCCCAGGGTTTCAACCCCCTGCGCGGCCAAGGTCTTTTGTGTAAGACTGGGCGCAACCAACTCATCGACATTATTATGAAACCATGCACCGCGCTCCGTAACCGACTGACAGGTGTTCGACTTTTGGCATCGTGCGGACGAGGTCGCCGAACGATACGTAGGGTTAGGGCCTACCGGCCTTTTAGAATCGGAGGCAGTGCTGACGACGAAAGTCAAAGGTTTCCGATAACCGGGGCATTGAATACCTCGCAGCTCGCAACGTCGGCAATTTGGTCGTGTCTCATCACACTACTTCCGGTTGTATTTGATTAGTGGCTTCATCATGCTTTGTAGGCTGCCACGCAGCTCTTATGGAGGTTCGCTCTACCTTGACTCGTCGCTGTATGCAGGTGCGACAGCCTTTGCTGTATGGAACTGCGACCATGACCCTAGAATAGGTAGGGGTATATTGTTGACTTCCAGTACCTAATGGCCCACTTCATTGACAATTAATAGGCAAGAAGGTGGACCAGGCCTTAGCCAGGAGACATTGCGAGCAAGGCTGGAGATGGAAGATGTCTGATGGACAGAACTCGGACTCTCCCCGCAACCCACCACCGCCAAGACACTTGTTATATTTGGGAAAAAATCCCGGAATTAGACTCTATGTGGTTTAGCGTCTGGGGGAGTCTCCTAAGCTGTGTCAGGAAGGACATCGCTGTGATTCTCCTTAGTGATGGCTGATCCAGTACGGCATTTACAGCCAAACTGCATCCAATTGGGGACTTCGAGTGGTAGTCTAACTCTGCCGTACGAAAGTGGACAGATAGGGATCTGGGGGTCGATCTACGGTGCATTAAATATGTCCAGCGGATTACCAGATCCACCAAGAGCAGACTTCAAAATCGAGAGTCAGGTATACAGGCTAGATTTAGATGTTGGTCTGCATTAACTACCAGCAGTACTTAGTAATTAGGAGGCAACCTATGGACGAGATCATTTACGAGTGACTGTAATAGAGATGTCAGTGGTGTTCTTGATGCTAGTGGATATGAACAAGACTAGAGTCTGCTTGTCAACTGTATACTGCAGTAAGCTGCGGTCGGGAGAGATCTGGACAGTATAGCCGTTAAGAAATATAGATAGGGGCAGGATGATTTCGGTAGATATCCAGATATTGGAGTCAAAGATAAACTACAGCTTGAAGATTGCCGAGCTCTCAGAAAAGCTCAAGTTTTTAGAAATATCAGCGGTAGTAGCCGGGTATATACGGCTGTAATACTTTACTAATTTAGAATAGGGCTGACTAGATATGCTATTGTACAGGTTCTTGTATATTCAGCCGATCCAGAAAACTATACTTATATCTATTGTTGATATAGTATCTGCTAGACTCTGTATCTGCTTATTATTGTCTATCTAGAATATAAGCTTGGTCAGTATTCCGGCGGTCCGAAGGTACTTATTGTTCTTATAGCAGTTACTAAGTATAGTAGAAATTGAGCCCAGTTATAGTAGATTACAGTAGGGGAATAAATATATTGACTTAAATCTATTGCTGAGAGGGTAGGCCTAGGAAAGGACCGCAAAGACCAAAGACCGGACCGTACTGGACTATATTATAGTGCGGATCACTAGTGGATTCTAGTTATTGTTGTAAGTCGTATCTGACCAATATAGCTACCTAGTCGCAGAGCCCTTGGACGAAGCCCCGGGTATCACGTGTAACACCTGTGAGTGCACCTTTAGAAATGTCGAGTATATTATATTCTGTACCTTCTGCTACAGCCCGCTGCTGTAAAAAGAGCTGAATCGGCAAAAATGGGGATAGACTGAATCCTCTCCTGGGAAATGTCTGAGGAACCCAGGGTGTTATTAGTGCTAAATTGTAGGTATTGCGACGGCAACACAATTGGCGAATCGAGGGCTAGTATCGCAGCAATATGTTCCAACAGCCTCTGGTGTATGAAGTCTCGTTTTTCCACTGCCTGCTCCAACATCCCGGTCCATTTCTTAATGGAAATATCGAGATTCATTAATTCCTGCTCGCGTACTAACATTCTACCCTTCCACTTGGGACCAATCCAAGTTGCGGACTTGAGATCCCGGATTTTCTGCTCTTGGAGAATGCGACGATCTGATTGTAAGGAGATACATGTATCTTGGAGGTATTTGCAGTGCTCCTTTAATTTCTCTAGCTTCTTTTATCTGTCAGACTGATCCTCATTCAGAAGGATGATTGAAACAGTCAGCAGAGCATACCTGTGAACACATTGCGACTTCATGTTTGCTTAGGACTTTAAACTGCTCGGCGTGGCGTTTTGCATCATTTCGAAGTTCGTTCAATTCCGGCGCTGGCAGGGTCAAGTGAGCGTTGGGTGAGATCACCCCAACATGAAGCATAATAGGTGAAAGTTGTTGCGCGTTCACATGGAATTCGGCTTGCCTCTGTCGCTCTTGTTCTGTAGCAGGTGCATTCGAAGGAGTGCTTCCCGGTGAATGTTCTCTGCGAAGGGAGTTTCCTGTGGCTGACGATAGCTGACGTCTACAGCGGTATAAGAGTTGCTTGGATCCTTGTTGTGGTATAAGATAACAGCAGCTGTTAGATGTAGGAGGGCTTTGTAGAGGCGTCATTGTGGGTAATGTTTTCGCCTCAGTTGGGAGCACCGGCAGGGGCTTTCCCATTTCAGATCTCAGCTCCGTGGCAAGTCCAGGCACATTAGAGGGAACCTTCGAACTATCCATGTTGTTCTTCGAGTCGTTATGCCTGGGGTATCCGTCATTCTTCGACAATGGTGTATCCCTTCGTGTACTGGAAAGAGCATTGGTAGCTTGGATGGGGTTGAGTATAGCTTTGAGAAAAGGGTTCTCGCTGGACCTGGCATTGGTTGGACCACTAGAATCATCGTTGATCGGATACCAACCGGGTATCGTTGCTGCAGGATTTATTAGTATATTCACGGTATAAATTGCGCGATCAAGTTTAAGTTTGGGACGAACGAGAATCCATATGATAAGGATGTTGTGGGACCTGGCTGATTTCACCAGGTGAACCGTCCTTCAGTCGCGTGCTAGATATGGGCCCAGGGCTGCGTTTGCCTCTTGCCGCCCATTCTGTGCGATCTGTCGTGATCCTATCCAGGCGAGCCGTTGACGCATTCGTGGGCTTGCTTGGAGCCCCTGTGCCACCCGCACCAAAGGATGCGAGTCTCTTGATAGCTGCTACACATTGTTGCCCTAGTGGATCTCGGACTTGACTGGCGGTGCCATCATTGCTTCGATACCCGGCCTATGTCAGTATTTGTAAGTTGCTAGCCATGTTGTGATATCCAATTGGTGAAGCTAGTGGCCTTACTGTTGTGTTAGATTTCCCTGAGCGATCAGAGAGCAAAGGGTTATGCGTACAACCATCTCGCAGCTCTGCCATCCTGGCGTTGGTAAACAAGTTACCACAAAGACGCAGCGGATATACTATAAAGCTGGGACGGGAAATATGAAGAAGCTGTCCATATAAGATCGTTCTAGATGCCTTTAATACCGCTTACTTATATATCGTACAAGGTTCCCAAGACGAGCATTTTCTACTTCAATTTATGATACAATTACATTGTAGCGGCAACTGAACCTGCAGCCGGAAGGACCTTCTGTCTCAAAGAATGTAACCCTTCCATATCTGCCGTCTCAGTAACACGAAGTATCGTCGGCTCCAGTGAGACGGCAATAACTTGAATAGGAAGTTTGACCGAAAGTTAGGACACCTCGTGACGTATCTGGCGGATGGCGGATGGGATTTGGCATCGGCCTTGACTTCGTGCAGCTATCTTTCGAGCGGCTGATGCTAAGCGAGGTTCTTCGATGTTTCAGATTTCGAACCATACTAAGTACTGTTTCCCCCCAGCGGGAACAAATGCTCGTCCATGTTGGCTAAGTCACAGGAGAGACACTATGATTCGTGGTTCGGGATTCAAACCACGTGGGCAGCCCCACCAAAAATTGTTGAGAACGAAAGGATCTCCACTTTGCAACTCAAAGTCGTTACTTGGGCTGCAGGGGGTTGCGTGTGGTTGATCAGTACAATGCTTAAATGAGCAAGGTTACGACATTTTGTATAATGCAGCATTCGAGCTCATCTATATTATGCGTGCTACAATTATATCCTGTCCCTGCGATCCAATACTTTCCCGGCCCAGAGCTAATCCTCTCACCTACTCCGTTCGCCACTAGTGAAGTTCGGTGTCGCTCAGGCTGATCATCCCTAAATATTAAACCCTAAACTATGGACGCATTAGCTTTAGTTACAGTTTATTCTCTCGACAATCAACGTATTGGGATCCACTGTTGACACACAGGGTCCTCGCTTAGGACTGACTCCACTACTCCCACGTGGACAATCCAGACAGAAGTGCGAAATAGTTCGTATCCTTTCCCGTGCCAACTCTGGATATCTGGCAGGTGGAGACACTTTCATTGGATTATTTGATCGGGAAATACTACAGACATGGGAGTTGACCCCCAATATGTAAAATTGTTGCTGTAAATAGCCTTTAGATTTGGCGATTATATGAAGCTCGATTCGCTGTATCTTAGTAGGAATATGATTCCCGATCGCATTTCCTGAATCACTCAAAGCCTTTGAATTGAACCTCCTAGCAAATAGGACTACTGGTATATCAAATTTGCGATGTATCTGTAGTTCATCTGGTAGAGAGGTGATGACCAAAACATTACGGATTTCTCCACATAGGGGCTCTGGAAACCAGCATCAGGAATGTGATACAGATGCCTTATTGGTAGTTGGATCGAGGAAACTGTTCAGGCTTTCGTATTCAACTCGACGAATCGATGGTTTCCTTCCAAAGATGGCATAGCGTCTTTCCCTCTTTGAGATTTTAACATATTAATAATAGGGTTTAGACATTTTGCTACCCCTTTCACCGAGATTTGGAAATACTCTCTATTCAACACGTCCGATAAACTTTACTGCAAGGACTAGTAGACATCTAGCTCCATGGAAAACCATTTAACTCCGACGAACTGACCGGATTTAAACACTAGAAGTGGCCCTTAGTAGGAATATAGCCAAGCACACCAAGTATTAGGGTATAGTGGTACAAAATAATGCAAGGGAAGGACTTTAGAGGTGCGATGCTGAATGGACCTGGCCTGTTATTTGCTGGTGTTATTATACCTTTGCCACTTTCGGTTCAAGATCCTACTGTATAGGGGAACAAGTTACTAGATACATCATATGATATATATATTCACGTGGTTTTGAATACGTATTTTGTCCCTGGACTTTCGAACAAGATGTTCGAAAGAAGCCAATGGGAGACTACGAAGATTGCATTTCTAGACTTACAACCAGCACTACGTACTGAGGATACCTAGATTAGTATTTGTGTAGCAAGATCTTGGCTCTAACACGATCAGTCGGTGTATTCTACCCATCGAAAACCCACAGCTCCTATTATCCTTTCAAATGCCGTTGCTTGAGCTGATCCACAGCCTTCTGGCCAAGATCCCGAAAGCTCCCACCATTCATGAGCTGCAACACCGTCACATCGACGCCAAATGACTGTTTCCACCAATTACGTAGTTCGATTGCCACAAGAGAGTCGACACCAAAGTCGTGCAGCGACAACCCCAAATTCGTGGCCTCGTCGGCATGTCGCGTTGTATATATGGAAACTTGGCGAGCAATTTCTGTAGCTGCTCTTTCAGTACTAGACTGGTCTTGCAAAATTCCCGGGTTGTCATGGATAGCGGCAAGAAACGATTTAAGACCACCGTCTTCACGTTGGTCACCATCAGGAGTGGATGCATCTTTCTGGGTATGAACGCGATTCAAAGCAGTACGCGGATCTCGTTGCCACATGAATTGACTCTTTGCAATACCAATTTCGGACAGTAGACCGTGGAGCAGTTGGTGGGGGGATCGGAATCCCTCTAGTGGATTGAAGACTGACGAAGGGTCACTCGGTGGATGACTGCGGACAATGGCCAAATGGAAGCTGCTCAAGAGACTGCATTCTGAAATGGGGGCACTCATCTGTTGCACCATCGATCGATGGATAGATTCATTTCGACTGACGAAGCCAACCTCGTCCACTACACCCAAGTCCACCACCGAGGCGGCGAGTCCTTGACCCTGGCGAAACTGGGCAAAGGCATCAAGGAAGGTATTGGCAGCCGCGTAGTTGGCCTGGCCATAGTTTCCGAATGTTCCGGATAGAGAAGACGCCATGACGAAGAAATCCATGTCCATTGGTAGGGCCTCGTGCAGATTCCAGGTTCCATCAACTTTGGGCCTCAGAGCTGTATTCCATGTCTCCAAATCCATGTCCAAGACTCCAGTGTCCGCAAGCACCATGGCCAACTGAATGACCCCGGCAATTGGAGTTGTGACGCTTGAAATGACCCGTTGAACAGTTGCCATATGAGCGACGTCGCCTGCAAATGTCAGGACTTTGCATCCCATATCGGACAATTCGCGTACGAGTGCTTTATCCTCATCCCGTTTCCCTGCTGAGCGAGAGAGGAAAACAAGACGTTTGGCGCCTTGATAGACCATCCATCTTGCGATGGATGCACCGATGCCACGCATTCCACCTACCAACAGGTAGGCTCTGTCTCCTCGAAGTTCTAAGACCGGAACCCTAGTGGCCACGGGGAGGTCGGTAGAGGCGGAAAACTGCAAGACAAGTTTGCCGATATGTTGCCCCGTTTGCAGATATCGGAAGGCATCTTGAAGCTCATTGAGGGGAAATGTCTTGACCGGGCGGATAGGGTGTATAGTTCCCTGTTTGTAAAGATCGACTATGGTGGCTAGTTGTTCTTGAACCCATGCGGGTTCAAGCACAGCAAGCGTTGCAATGTCAGCTCCGATATATGATCGGTTGGCCAAAAACGGGCTCATCGACAATTTTCCACGACCGAGAAGATCTCGTTTACCGATTTCAACCATGGTTCCTCCCTCTGCAACACATTGCCAGGACGCATGTAACTGCTCGCCGGACAGTGAGTTAAGTACCACATCGACTCCGCGACCACAGGTCGCTTTCATGACTCCATCGAGGAAGCTGTTATCCCGTGAATAGAATATATTTCCTCTCTCCACACCCATTTTGTCCACCAAGAAACTAATCTTTTTCGGTGAGCCTACTGTCGCGTAGATCCTGGCGCCAACCGACTTTGCATAGTGGATAGCTGCGATACCAACTCCTCCTGCAGCACTATGAATGAGAGTGGTTTGGCCTTGTCGAAGGTTCGCCTTTTCTCGCAAGGTCCTGAGCACTGTCAGGTAAACGGTTGGCAGTGTACTCGCCTCCTCAAAGCTGCAGTCATCTGGGATCTGAATACAGAGATGACTAGACAGCTGTAGTACCGTTGTATAACTGGTACTCTCAACAGTGAGGGCCATTACTCGATCCCCAACAGCTACGTTCGTAACATTAGAGCCAACCGCTGTGACAATACCTGCACTGTCTGTGCCTGCCAACTCCTGGCCCTCATCAATGGGAACAACCCCCATGGCAAGAAGCAATTCTTTGAAGTTCATGCTGATTGACATGGTCTTGATTCTCACTTCATTGGCCCGTAACGGTTCCATTGGCTGAGATACCCAACGCAGCGTATTGAGTAATCCTGGTCGACCTATCTCCAAAGTAGCCTTCTGGCTCCGTCTGCTACTCTGAGCCAGAGCCGCAGGAACTGAGAGCCAATGCATGCGGCTGACATGAATGGCACCATTGACCCAAGCATATTCTCGGTCTGGGTCAAATTCAGATTCCCCGGTATTCTCAACTGCCCTTTGCTGTATGCGTTCTAACAGAAGGCAGATTGCCTCCGTGGACCCTGGACCAAAATTCTCCATTTCCAGAGTATAAAAGGAAATACCAAGTTCTGACCTCAGAGTTCGTGCCATACCCAGAACTTGGGAAAACCGTGGATCCTGTGGAAGAATTTGTGCTGCATGGGTTATCCACAAGAGTTGAGATGAGGAATGATGCTTAGAGACTTGCAGAAAGCCGTTGAGATTCTCCTCTGTGATATTGTCAAAAAATGGGGATTCGACGTCGAGCAAAAAGACAATATCCTGATCCGATGGTATATTGTCTCCCCAACTCAGCAAATCAACTTTGTATCCGTCCAAGCTAAGTCGTTGGTGTAAATCTTGAACTACTGGATGGGAAGAAGTTCCAATGTGAAGCAAAGTGACCGTCTTTTGACAGGGCGGCGGAGCAGGTGTTGCAACCAACATAGTGTTCAGCTGGTATGGGTGTTCCGCATCAAGAGCTGAGGCATCCACGCCGGTGAATCCGGCGGCACGTAGTCTGCAATTCCATTCCGCTGGGCTGATGTAGGGCTCGCTGGGACGTCCATCATCTTTGCCAAGCCACCAGCCAGGGAACAACCCGAAGATGAAGTTTGTCCATTTCGAAGCAGGACACAATTCTTGTAACAAGAGACGACCATCTGGCTTGAGCAACCTCTTAGTATGCTTTAGGGTCTCGGTCAGCTTGGGCGTTGCGTGTAGAATATTAGAGGCAATAACCAAGTCATAATGCGCCTCGGGGAAGCCCTGCTCGATAGGATCTTTGGAAATATCCAACACATCGTAGCAAATTCGAGGTCGGTTGTGGAATCTCTCTTGCGCATCGACAAAAAATCCTGACGATATATCGGTATACATATATTCGTGATAGGTATCCTCGCCAGACTCGGATCGCAAGAAGTCGAGTACTTTTGCAGTCAGTCCTCCGGTACCAGCGCCAATTTCCAGTATGTTCATTCGAGGCCGTAGATGACTCAAGAGCTTCAAAAAGTCTTTGTAATCATGCTTGTCTTGTAGGCAGTCGTAGTAACGGCCTAACAGGCCATCTCGCCGCATTAATTCCAGCGGGTTAGTCCTCCCCTTGAAAATATCGAACATGTGTCTATAGCAAAGGAACAAGATGCGAGATCCTGGCACCATTGTTCCTTCAGTGTGACTCGCGACTAGACTGTGAATCAGTTCTTTTCTGTCGCTGGCACCGAGGTTGAACAGATCTTTTGCATCGGGTACCAGAGGAGAGCCTTCCTTTTGCGCTTGAGAAAGTTGTTCAGACATCCAAATCCGATATAACTCGAGATGTGGTTGAGCTGTTGGAATGTCCTTGATATCGTGCATCAGGTCTATGATGCAAAGCAGAAATATTCGCTCAATTAGAGGATTTGCCAAAAGCAACTCAGCCTGCTGGGCAGGTTTGACAAGGGTTGTAGGATCCACAAAGTGGATATCCGGCTTCCACACGAGCTCGGCCGTTTCGGATTTCTCCTCCTGCTCGTCTTCCTCCTTTTCTGGCGTTGAAAGCTCAAGGCCTTTCATGAAGAACACAAGAGTATCCTTGACGACACCATGAGATTCGACTTTTTGCTTCTGGACAGTAGTATTCAGGTGGATATCGTGCTCACCCGCATTCCCTCCTATGTACATCTCCTCGATAAATGTAGGTAAGCGGCACTTTTCGAAGAAGCGTGGCTGACCTTGGTGCATGGCTACGAAGGCGGACTGTAGAATCAAGTCTGTCGTTGTTGGGTGCAATATATATGACGATCCGGGATGTCTGTTATCGTGGATGATGGCAGATGCAGTACTTTCACTGACGCTTGCCGTTATTTGCCTCAAACCAGTGAAATGAGGGCCATACCGCAGGCCAACCCTGGTAGTCGCTCGATAGAACCGCTTCGACTCTACTATTCTCGAAAAAGAGGTCACTTTGGGTGTTGGTCCAGGTGAGCTCTGGCCGCCTGCGACCAGTCCCACGCAATGCTGTGTCCACACCGAACCAGTATATGACATAACGGAAAATTCAAAGAATGGAGAGTTCAGAGAATCAGTAAGCCGATGGGGTTGAAGTCTAGTAATGATTTCGGTCGGTACACTGTCATCAAGCACCATCGCGGTCTTCAAGGAAACATCTCGCAGCGTAAAGTCCTTCAGATCCGTGATTTGCCAAATGGCATGGCCAACCATCGCAATGTATGCCGCAGCTGGAAAAACGATATCTGGGCCCACGCAGTGATCACGTAGCCAGGATACATCTCCAAGACGGAGGACATTTCGCCACACGGGTTCTAAATCGCTGCTTTCAATTGTCCGCACGCCGAGTAACTCATGGCGCGGGAACTTTTGGAACCGTGAGGACTTCATAGGTCGCGACTCTGACCACCAAGACTCTCCGTAGTGCCATGGATATAACGGCAGGTCATGCAAGGCTTTGGGCATGGTGGCTGGGAGAGGATATTTTATAGTCACCCCTCGAGACCAGAGCTCTCCAACGCAGGACAAAAATGTGATAACTGCGTCTGCGCCACGTGAGAGTACGGAAAGATATGGATTAGACGCATTATGTGCTCGGTAGATCTGTTTAATCGGGCCAGCCAGTGCTGAATGTGGTCCAATCTCTACATATAGGGCATCCTTCCCGATTTGTGACTGAAGAAGAGAGTTGAACCCTTGATAAAACCACACAGGGCTTTCCATGTTCAAACGCCAATAGCCGGATCCAAATTCCTCTGGTTCATGCAATTGTCGAGAGAAGACGGTAGAGTGAAATGGAACGTTTGGCTGCTTGATCGCTGGTTGATTGGCGATGAGACTGTCGTACAGGTGCCCTACGTCCTGCATATGATCTATAAGGGTTTAGCCATGCCCTTAAGGTAGACGAAGCGGCATACTAACGTGAATGATACGCTTTGTTTACTTTCAAGAGCCGTTGAAAGACGTCCGGACGGTCATTTTTAATACCTGAAAGGACTGATTCGATGGCATCCGCATCTCCCGACAAGGTGACGCTCCAGGGGCTATTTTCGCAGGCAATGACAACACCTGGCCGAAGCCACTGAACAACCTCATCATATCCGAGCCCCACAGCTGCCATGGCTCCTTCACGTGTCTGTTCCTTAGACGCGGCTCCTCGATAATATGCCAGAAGTACTGCATCGTGCATGCTGAGAGACCCTGCGGCATACGCGGCCGCAATTTCTCCACTGGAATGGCCGACCACAGCAGACGGAAAGATCCCCCACCGGGCTAGATGATTGCAGAGTGCAATTTGAAGGGCAGTACAAACGGCTGCGCCACCTCTGCCTCGGATAGGAGACTCCCTTCTGATGACATCAATAGTTGCTCCTCTATGCTCCATAAGGGGGGGTTATTTTGCTTTTGCAAAAGCTTGTCCATCTGCCTGACATCGTGAAGTAGTTCAGGATATGTTTCAAGCAGTTCCTTGCCCATCCCAGCCCACTGCGCACCCTGGCCAGTGAAAACAAATGCAATCTTCCTTTGAGGTTGACTCGTAAAAGGAGGTGAGGTGACAGCTTCATCGTGAGTCCCCTTGCTAATGCAAAAGCCACGGAGAGGAAGCTGCTCCCGCCGTTCTGCCAGTGTATATCCCAGATCAGTCAACCGATTTGGATGCTTGGTAGAGTACTCATGATAGTTCTTTTGCATTTCCTTCAATGAATCCGAATGCCCTGCTGATAACAAAAGAAGTTTGAAATCTGGTTCGCGTTCGCAGGGTGATTGGGTATCGGGTTCGGATAGACCAAATGAGGCAGCAGAGTCCAGGATAATCTAAGCTGTCAACTCGATCTGCGACAGGGAAACGAAGGCTGTGTGACTTACGTGGACATTGGTTCCGCCGATTCCATAACTATTGATGCTGATGCGCTCCTCTCGATCCTCTGGCCAAAGAATCGGCTCGGTTGGAACCGTTAGCCGGGCTTCGTCCCAGCGAACTGCCTATCTTAGCTACCATTATCTCATATACTGGTACATTCTGTACCTACTCCGAGGGCTTGGGGTATTGAACTTGATATTTGGTAAAATAGTCCGATGTTCCAACTCCACGATTGCTTTTAGAATGCTGCTGATGGCTGACGCCCCTTCCGAGTGTCCTAAATTTGGTTTGACCTTCGGTGTGTGCGAATAAGCATATGAGTGTAAGAACCATGAGTGCTTTATCGCTACATACAGCTCCAATGTATATTCCTCTGTCGCCAAAGACACGGGCTACTGCATCTGCCTCAATGGCATCGCCCATCGCTGTGCCTGTTCCATGGCACTCCACCATGGCTGTACGCGCGGGATCGACGCCTGCATTGCGATAGGCTGCATTGATAAGGGCTTCCTCTGCCTCGATGTTTGGCGCCGTGAGGGCAGTAGACTTGCCACCTGCGTTGGTACTAGTTCCTCGAATCACAGCTCGGATCGGGTTACCGTCGCGAATGGCTTCATCGAGACGCTTGATATAAAGGCAGTTTACACCGTCAGCGCGGACATAACCATTTGCGCTGGCATCAAAGGTTTTGGATGAAGCGTCGGGGGAGATTGCACCGCCATCTGCCATCAACATGGTAGTCTCGGGGGAGAGAATAATGTTGGCACCAGCCACGATAGCAGAGGTGCACTCGCCAAGCTGAATCGACTGACATGCAAGGTGAATGCCCAAACCACTTCCCGAGCACCCAACGCGAAGCGTCATACTGTTGCGAGTCAGCAACTGTCTCATGCACCAGTCGGAGACACGCACCTGGGCCCTCTTAGGTCGAACTCGTATGAGATGCGGTTCGCTTGCATAAGATCCATATAGCCAGTAATCACATTAAATCCTCTATTCTGGGGATCCTTAGCATGGAGCTACTCCATTCCTCAGCAAAACTCGCGGCGTAACATCCGATATTTTTGCCTCGCCAGCCGGTTTCAGCAGCACTCTCGAACGCTTCGCGGACAACTTCCAGTAACAGCCTTTGATGTGGGTCTAGGGTTTCAATCTCTTTTCGACCCATGGAGAATAAGGACGAGTCAAAGTTAGACAGGTCAACATCGTCGAGCCAATACCCCTGTGTCGAGGAAAGAGTGCCTGGCTTTCCATCGGCGTCGTAGAATCCATCAACATTGAATCGATTTGATGGAACGGTTCCTCGAGCATCCCGCTTGTTTAACAAAAATTCATACAAAGCGTCAGAGTCTCTAATGCCACCGGGTAGTCGCATGCCCATTCCGCAAATTGCAATGGGCGTTGCGCCTAGCCGTTCGGTGAGACGATCACAATCTGTCAAAATAGAAGGCATTGTATTCAATTACTGAGGACGTAAGTGTATTGAGCCTGTTGAGACAAAGGCACGACATCGTTCCAAGAAGACCTATGGTCATGTTTTTGAATGCTGCCGGCGATACGCAAAGCGATATTCATTGTGTTCAGTAATAGACAGGGATGCGAACCCTCGAGTCTGGGGCCAAAACCAGGCCCACTGTATCGGATCCTGCAGGATCAGTGACAGCAAGTAAGTGCGCCCTTTCCAATGTACGGAACAAAAGGACGAGGCTCCGATAGAATCGCACTAATGCACCCCGCCGATAGTGCTTCGTCATACGACAACTACCTATCTAAGCGAGAAGCATACTTGTTCCAGTGATGTAACGGAAGGATTTGATACACGAAGAGGAAGGGGGGAGTGGGGGTTGGAGACGACCAATACCGCGCTACATGTTATACTCCGTGGCTATCTAACATCCCCTATCTTTGCCCAGGAAGAGTGGCCAGTGAAAGCGAGCCATGTAACCCTCCTTCTCACAAGCAATACATACACACCTATGTAAGTGACGAAGTGTATTGCCCCGCGATACTGTGCCCTTAGTAAAATCAGTGGCGAGTGGCTGAGTGCGCGGCCCTTGGATAATTCCCTCAGCGTATTTGCTTAAACCCTCTCTGCAGTTCCCAGTACTCATGGATTAGCTTGAGGTCCAGATATGTGTTACCGGACTGTTACATATAGAGCTTGAGAGCAAAGTAATTGAGACGAAGATATATAGCATACGTATGAAACAAATGGAGCTATATATGTCTAAAGATTTGCGATAGGGGAAGGGGGCAATTGGCGGAGTCAGTTTGCTAGTCCCCGTAGAACCTCCACCATCATTTCAACCATTGCCGAAACATCTCTGGTTCTAGTAGGCATAATGTGATCACCCTCCCAAACAAGTAAATTTCCAGAGTCAGACGAGCAACATTGATAGAGCCATTCAGCTGATGACTGAATGAGGCAATCGTGCGTGCCATAGACGTGAACGGTAGGAGTTCGAAGAAGGGATTCAAGGGGCAATTCCCCTTCCATTTGAGGGGACTCTGCTGAGCCTAGCCAGACAAGGGGTGCTGGCCCTGCAACAAGTGTTCCAAAATGAAAGAAAGGAAGAGATGTAGACCCTCGGGATAAACCTGCTGTCTCCAAAGTAAACTCGCTGCGATCTTGGCACCTTGACTGAAACCTAGCAGTCCAACCCAAGGGCCCATTCCTCCAGCGCGATCATCATCATCCACTGCTTTCTGCAAGCTTTGGTGAATCCTTCCAATGACCATGTCGGCATCCGTAGGATCTTCGTAGATACGCCTCACACCTTGGCCTTTACCTGGTCCGACTCCGAGGTCAGGTGGAAGCCAGGATCGGAAGGGACCCCATTCAGTGAAGAAACCAGTTATGAGCGGACCCGGTGGTGCAAAGAAAGGACCGTCTGCATATACTAGTCTGGCATGGTTTGACAACTGAGTTTCGAGCACGCGGCACCCAATTCGGAAAATCCGAGAATTCGAGCCCCCACCATGGAGGCAGAGAATTCTGGGGCGAGACTGGGATGTCAGATCAAGTGTGTTGCAGTGTGTTGTCAATGGCAGGTCTGGCATCTTGGGGGACATTGAAGTTTCCGTTCGGCATAGTAAGGATCAGTGGACCATCCTCAGGCGAGATGGGCGCCATGAGGTTTATATGGAATTGGCAAGCCTCTCCCCCTCGCCCCACTTATTCATAAGCATACATACGTATCTAATTTCAAGGCCCATTACGAATATTTATCCCTGGTGGAAATTGGTAGAGATCATGTAGTTATGGGCCCGAAATGTAGAAATGGCGTTCATGCAACATTCAGATTGATATATCTGAAGGCTATTTAATGAAAGTAAAGAGATACAACCTGAATTCTCATTTCCATGATATCGATTTCTCCTACAATCCAGATGCCAGAGCTATAACGACCATGTAATATTTGTGCTCCGGGAGATTCCCTTCGGTCCAGTCAATAGCTTCATATCCAGCAGCTGTCAAGCTGCGCTTCCAGGCCTCGGGTGAGGTATAGACGTGGGTACGTCCATCTTCGAAAAGCCACCAGCCCTCATACAGACCAAAAGTAAGATCAAGTGCAGGCCATGCTTCTCGCATCTCAAGCACCATAAGGAAGCCATCTGGTCGCAGTGCCTGTCGAATGTTTCTTGTCGAGTCCTCCAAGCTTCGCGTGGCGTGGACGGCATTGCTGGCGACGATAATGTGCTGTTGCCCTGCTATCTCCTTGCTTGGTGGCTTTTCGATGTCTTGGATGGCAAATCTCATGAATGGGTATTTCTTTCCAAGTGTGCGACGCGCCTGTGCCACGAGCGAGGAGGATAGATCCGTGAAAGTGTATTCAACGGGAATGTTTAACGAGGCAAGAAGTGGTAACAATACGCTAGTTAGGCTTCCAGTTCCCGCTCCCAATTCAAGAACCTTCAAAGGAGTCTTCTCACTGTGAATGTGTTTAATCGCTTGGGTGATGACATCGCGAATTGTTTCGAATCCAATTCGGTTAAGCGGGTAGTTGTGATATACAGATTCACAGAGTTTACGGCCCTCGGGATTGCTCATCAGCACCCGATTGCCATCTGTGAGCCCCGATAATGCGCTGGCTAGCTGAATTCCAGCGTGATATGTCAATTGTGTAAAGTCGGCATGATCGGGGTATTTCTCAAGCAACTTAGGCAGCAGGTCTTTACTGCTTACGGTGGGAGTGGGTGTTTCCGTACGTGTGAGCCGCCCGGTTTCATCGACTCTGACAAGTTGCGCAGTTTTCTCAAGGAACTGGTAAATGTAGTTCACGAAGATCGTGTGTTGGGGCTTGAAAGGTATGCGGCCCAAGACAGCACCAGGCTTTGCGCTCCGTAGTGGACACCCGAGCTCCTCAAAACATTCCACGACAAGTGCGGTGCACATCTGATTAGTATCTGGAACGACATCGCTTTCGAAATTACCTAGGCTGTGTTCAAGGATCATCTGGTCGCCACGAGCCTTTACGGCAGAGAAAGACTCCAAGATGTCCGACGCCCTCCACAACAAGTCCACGGGGATGAATGAACTTGAGGCACTGGACTCAGATGGGGTACTCAGATACGGGTCTGAAGCCTGTGAAAAGGAAGAGAGGTCGACAGGGAAGTGTTCCGTTGATTCATCATTGTTAACAGTCTCCTGCTGCGGTATATCCCCACAGATGGGAAGGCATCCTACCAGGTCACGTATTGTAGTGGCTTCAAGTATTGCGGCTACGTCTGGCGCGCAGGAAAAGACGGTCTTAATTTCACTTTGTAGTTCGAGTCCAAGCAGGGAGTCGACACCAAAGTCAACGAGGTTTGCATCTAGGCCAATTTCGGCCACCTCCACGCCGACTATGTTGGCGACGAGCTCGGTCATCTCGGCGAGTAGATCCCGCGCCGGTGTCTCCTGACTCTTTGTCTTTGGGGATGCTGTCTTTGGAGCTTCATTCACGGCCACAACACTCGGGGCGGGCATAGAAATGGGTTGCAGAATTGTGGGTGAAACCAAGTTGATATTCCCAGTTAGCAGATTTGGTGTCATGCGTTGCAAGGCCCGGACGAAAGAGGCCCTGGGTGTTCGGGTGAATCTCACTCCCAGCAAGACCTGAACCAAGTCTCCACTGACAGGGTCAAACACAAAGCTATCAGTTGTATAATCACCTGTATTTTTCTCCTTGAGATGGCGCGCCAGAACATCACATTGGTCAGGTAGTGGCCGGTTTGCCCAGCTGGGAGAAACCATATAGGTCTCGATCTCTGCTCCTAAGAAAATGTCATCTCGGCTGTGATCACTCATGCAATTGACCCAAATCCCGCCAACCTGGCTGATATGCTCGCCTCGAAGTTGGTCAAACCAGGCACCATTTTTCGGCGTCTTAGAAAAGCGACCTGCACTTTCGTTACCCCGACCGACCAGCCAGCGCAGACTGTGGTACTGCTCTCCAAAGTCAACGATGTCGTTAAACGCCCGGTAGATACTACGTCCTTGTAATATTTCCACGTCATCGTCACTTGGTCGAGCGTTCAGAACAGCCAAGCACCTTTCATGATCCACCATCCGACTGAGCCGTCGGAATTCCGCCTGGTATGCAACGTCCTTGGGGTCTCGCATTTGCAGGCGGCCGGTAGTGTGGACAACGCGAGGCGCACCCTGCGATGAACCAACAATTTTCCAGTCCCAAAATCCATTCTCTCGATCTTCGAATTCGATAGTCAGGATACGTGAAGAATCCAGACAGATTGGCGCGTGGTTGGTCGCGTCATGTAGCGTGGCGGCAATTCCTTTGGTAGCCCAGTCCGGGTGCAGACTGAATAGCGCACCGATAGCCAAATCAGCCTGCAACATGCCTGAACAGATTCCAGCAGTTTGCGCCACAATATGACTGGATATTAATGATTGGTATTCTTTGGATGTCGTGATGATATTGAAACAAGGCTGCCTCTTGCCATGGACGTGCGGGTCCTTATATCCGGTAAACAGCCACTTGCTGTTCGGAACAAATGTAGGATCCAAAGCTGGTGTAGCCCTCTCTGCCCGGACAGATTCCTTAATTTTTTCAATAAGTTCAACTGGAGATCTGAGTTCCACCCAATGCTTTTCTCTTTCAAACTGGTATGGAGGCAAAACGATGGTAGCGTATCCAGCTGTTTGAATGGCGTTGTGTGGCCAGAACGATAAGGACAGCCCCTCTTTCCATAGAGATACTGTTGCGTCGGCGAGATTGTTGAAAGCATCAGGATCATCGATATTTAAAGCTTGGAAATGGCAAGACGTTCGTTGAGAGGCGTCCAACGCTCGCTGAGCCATGACAGTGATTGTAGAGCTAGAGCCTGCTTCTAACCAAACACAGCCGGGGTGGCCCTGCGCAATGCGTTGCACAGCATGGTGAAAGAAGACTGGTTGTCTCATCTGGTCAGCCACATACTCGGGCCCTAGAAGCTCGGCGGATGATCTTGTCTCCGTCGTTCGCTCAAGAGGAATCTTTGGCTTCTGGAAAGCAAGACTTTCTCCCACCACTTTCAGGCCCGAGGCAATTGAGTCGACAAGACTTGAGTGAAATGCGTTGGTCACTCGCAATGTCTTACTTCGAATAGTAGGAGATGTTCGGGACAGAATATCAGTCACTATACTAATGACCTCTTGAGAACCTGCCAATGTGAAACTTCGAGGACCGTTGTAGCAAGCAATGCTTGCCGGATGGGAGCCAGCGTACACCTGGTTGGCCTCAGACAACAGTGCCTGCACAGCAGTTTCTTCCGCTTCAACCGCAATCATAGCACCAGGGTCAGATCCCCACGAGTCCCGGACCAACTGTGCTCTTCCAACCACCAGCCTCACAGTATCTTGCAGAGAAAGGACGCCTGATATACACATGGCAGTAATTTCCCCGAAGCTGTGGCCAACAATAGCAGCGACTCGCTTCGACAGCCCAGATTGCAACCATGACATTGCGCAGGAATATTGCATTGCAAAAAGCATTGTTTGCAAGTGTTGCTGATCTTTCACTGCGTCATGGGAGAAAATATCAGGGAAGATACTTTGTGCCCCTAGTGACTGAACTGCGCGGTCGCATTCGTCCAGATGATATCGTAGGATCTTTGTACGATCGTATAGGTTACGATCTAGTCCAATGGCTCTTGATACCTGGCCACCAAAACACAGAATAACCTGCCGCTCGGGGTGGCAGGCAGTAATCATCGTATCCGCCTCTGGCCCAGGAGACAGCGCCAAGATTTGCGATAGAGACATCTTCAAGTCATCAGGAGAACCGCATTTGAATGAGAATCTGTAAGGCAGTAGACGACTGGATTGCCGGTTGATGTTGAATGAAAGGTCAACCAGGCTAACACCAGTGTGAATGGCAAGGTAATTGAGAAGCCGTGCGCAATTGGCCTTGACTGTGTTTATCGTGCGCCCGGAAATGCAGAAGGGAACATTCAATAACTCTCCTGAAATACTCTGGCCACGTTCGGGCTGGGACAGTGGGGACTCGGCGACAACCATTGCCACATTGCATCCACTGGCGCCGTAGTTATTGATCAAAGCTGCCTTGCGTGTAGCTCGCCAGGGCTGTTGAGTCGTCGCAATCTGCATCGTGGTGGTCGGTGGTATAAGATGATTCAGCCTCGAATGACTTGCCTGAGGTGGGATATATCCGCTTTGCATCGTCGTCAACACTTTTATAAGCGCCACTAAACCAGAGGCGCCCTCTGTGTGGCCTATATGGCCTTTTGCAGACCCGACATACACTGGCTCAGGCCTTTGAGGCCCTTCCAGGGCTTGGCGAACGCTTTCCCATTCAGCAGGATCTCCCACTGGCGTACCTGTCCCGTGGCATTCCACGACTGATATATCTGCTGGATCCACCTGGGATTTCTTCATAACAGAATTAAACAGGTTATATAAAGAAGGTGAATTGGGAACGAAAATGGGGGTGTGGTTCTCATTCTGATAAACAGCTGAGTTAGCAATGCATCCAAGTATCTGATTGCCATCTGCCAAGGCATCAGATAGTCGTTTCAAAAAGACAAAGCCCACCGCCTCTCCTCGGCAGTACCCATCGGCACGGTCGTCAAATGGTTTGCATTGCCCTGAGGGACTGAGAAAGCCGGCAGCAGCTAAATCTTGGAAGGCAAGGGGATCAGTAATGACGTTGACCCCGCCGGCGAGGGCAGCGTTGCAGTCACCAGCCAAAATGGCCCGGCAGGCTGTATGAATGGCAACAGCAGAGGAGGAGCACGCGGTATCGAGTGTCATTGCTGGGCCTGTCCAGCCAAAATGATGGGCTATCTTGCCGGCAATGAGACTGCGCATAGTTCCCGTGATAGAAAAGGCATTAGCACGATGGGATCTAACGTGATTTTGGTAGTCATCCAATGTTAATCCCAAATATACGCCAACATGATTCTCATCAACCTCATCCCGATCCCTTTCTGCAGCGGGGTTTTCGTCACGACAATAGTAGCCAGAGCTTTCAACAGCTTGGTACGCAGCCTGCAAGGAGAGCCTTTGCGCTGGATCCATGTTGGCGGCTTCTCGCGGACTTTTTTTGAAGAACTGGTGGTCAAAGTGGTCGACATTTCGCATCCAGTTAGCATACCATTTGTAGGATGGATCCCAGTCACCCTCACGCCAAAGTGTATGGAATTTGACGCGATCGGATCCAACAAGCTCGTGTTGGGAGGCACCAGTTTGGATCATGCGCGAGAACTCGTCTACATCATCTGCCCCAGCTGTTTTGATGGACATGCCCACTATAGCAATCGTACTTCTGGTCGAGAGTGAGGGCTCAACGTGTTGGTACTGGTTGCCTCCAATCTCGTGTTCAGCCTTTTGCAACCTTGCTGCTGGGGCTTGCGTCGTGGACGTGTTTTGGACATGCTCTCTTTGTTGCGTTGGGGTGTGGGAGGCAGGTAGAGCAAAGGTAGGAGACGCAGGTGTAGTTGGCACTGGGGTAACAGCAGCAGGGGTAGAGGCATCAGAAGGTGTTGATGTATTGATACCATTTGGAAGACCATCGTGTTGGCCCAAGCGCGAGACATGGCAGAATCTTCCACCCAGGGATGTTGTCAAAGATTGAGGGACACACCGGTCAGGGCCGAAGGCGACGACCCCTTGAGACGAGTTCTTATGAGACAGAGGCAGCGATGCAAAGGTTCCATACCAATTACACTCTGCAACCAGTGTGCTCTGCACAGCTAGCTCGTGCAGACTACCCTTGTCAAGTGGAATCCCATGACCGTCGTTAGTATAGGTACGAAGAGCGAGGTTTGAGATATCCCCTAGGTGTAAAGTAGGCGTAACTTGGCAAATTTCACAAATTGCCCGGGCGATGTCTCTGTTCTCACTACTCGGAGAGTGAATGGGCCCTTGGATGTTCGACTCCGCGACTGTCAGACCCGCTCCCTGAAATTGACGGAGAAGACTGGACCGAATCCATTGGGCAGTTGTGGTGACGGTCACTCGTCTTTCATCCAGCCAAACCGAAATGTATGCTTGCGGGTATACTAGGCTGATGGCCCGTTTCATCTGCTCACTTTGCTCGGGATTACGCCACGCTGCCACATAAGATTTCGCCTTCCCGTGGCGAGCGTCCAACGCGTCCGTCGCTGCCCCGATCATCATTGCTAAGCGAATTGAAACGGAGCCATAACGTTCAAACTCGGAACGAGTGCGACTGCTGGCAACTGCATATGCGGTCAATTGCCCTGCACATAGACCAATGGCCTCGGAATCACACATTTCGCTTTCTTGAAGATGAGCAATAAACTCTTGGAGTGGATCATCACATCCTGGGTTCTTCTCTTCAACAAAACGCCAATACTCAATCAAGCCAATCATCACCACAATAGGTAGCAGAAGGATATTTCCCAGTGGAGGTGAACTTTCGTCCGCATTGAATCCTTCTCGAAGCCAACGGTGGAAGTGGTCCAGCACCTGCCGGCCTTGGAACGAGCCATTGACGGATGGTAGTTTCTTGACTAAAAGGTCCCAGTAGTCGGGAAGCTCGGCAACTGTAGCAAGCATCCACTCCGCGCCTGGATTCTGGTCGAAATAGCATTTGAGATCCCTAATCGAGGTCAAGTTATGCAAAGGCGTCAGTGTGCCGAAAAGAAATGAAGTGCCCTCCATGGCTGCTGTGGGTTCAAAGTTAAGCGGAAGTCTGGATAGCAAATACAAGGTGTCACTCAGAAAGCATCATGATAAAAGGAAAAGGTTAAGCGCACCTTAACGTCCTCAGATGTCATCTTCTCTTGTATACATCTCTGGCCGACTAGAAAAGCAGGTGGGTCTGCCATCATACGTAAGCCGATGCCACAAATCCTTCGTCATGTAACTATCTGCCCCGCCGCTAAAATGAAATCGCCCCCAGCGCCATCGTCTAAAATCCTTCCGGTGTTTCTGGTTTTAACGTACCTTTGCTCTCAGACGGTGGGGTAAGACTCGAGGGTTACACCTTGCCACTAGATGCGTCGACAGTCCTTTCGGCAAGCGTCGTCGTGCCGATGAACGTCAGCGGGATCAACAATCCATCTACAGCTCGGCGCCACTAGGAGCCCTTACCTGCGCAAGAGGTAATACGAACGAGTGGCAGGTATCGGCTGATTGAATCAATCACCGGCCGAAGGTTTTAGCCGGTGATTATTCGGTCATGATATGACTTTGATGGCGTTTGCCGTGCCCGGGTACAAGTATATCTCACCGTCCATTCATCCACAACATTACCCGCTGCAGTGCACATTCACATCCAGTGAACTGGGCAGCCTCGCGCACGAAGATCGATAAATCATGGCAATTGCTGTGACAACAGGGACGGGTCCCGATGGTATCGCAGCTCCCGGAAGTTCAGGACTCACGGTTCTCGTCATTGGCTGTGGGTTTGGCGGGATGGCAGCGGCCATAGAATGCTATCAAAAAGGTCATAAAGTTGTGGTATTCGAGAAGAACCCGGAAATCGGGGGACTTGGTGGGCTACTACAAGTGATGATACGTTGCCAATGTATATCTAATAGGTCGCAGGGGATACTCTAGGAATTTCGCAAAATGGCACTCTCCCAATCTATAAATGGGACAATGGAAAGGTCCAACAGAAAGCCGCTGAAATATGTTGCAACTACACCACCCACAAGATTCATACCAGCCAGGGAGAAGTGCTCTTGAGTCACCCGATGAAGGGCTATTCCGCGGGATCGGGGTACACTGGGCGACGGGGCGATCTGCTGCTCTGCATGTTTGAATATTTTCAAAAGCTCGGGATTGAGTTACATCTGAACGCCAATGTGAAGGACTTTTTTGAGACCGACGACTCAGCCGGGGTGGTCGTTAACGGCCAGCGGTGGGAGGCAGACGCTGTGATCTGTGCAGATGGGGTTCATTCCGCCGGGCGTCATTTTGTGCTGGGGAAGGAAGACCTTCCCCGGCCTAGTGGGTATGCCATCTATCGCGCCTGGTTTGTTCCAGAGCCGTCGCTGCGGGAAAACCCAGCAACATCCTGGATCCCACTTCTCGGTGATGAGGACACGGTCATGAACTTCATTGGTGCCAACGTGCACACTCTCATTGCAACGGTCAAGCGCAATACGGGCATTACGTGGGTTCTCACACATCCCGACGAGTGCGATATCGAAGAGTCATGGACCCACCCTGCCAAGCTGGAGGATGCTCTCCAGGTGGTCGAAGGTTGGGATCCAAGAATAGCGGAGGTTTACAAAATCACGCCCCCCGATCAGTTGTTCGACCACAAAATCATTTACCGAGATCCTCTTCCCACCTGGGTCTCCTCCAAGGGCCGTGTAATTCTGATCGGAGATGCCGCGCATTCATATGTCCCCACATCTGCCCAGGGAGCAACCCAAGCTGTGGAAGATGCGGCCACGATAGCAATTGTGTTGGAGCTCGCTGGTAAGTCGCAGGTGCCACTCGCTTTGCATACTATGGAGAAAATGAGGTAAGCCACATCTGCACGCCTACGCACTGGAAACGCTAAAGATGGAATGTAGATATGAGCGGTGCCGGATTGGGCAGTTGATGGGTCTAGAAACTCGCGATATGTGGGTCAAAACCGATTGGGATGCCGTGAGGAAAGACCCGCAGCTTCTGGCTCAACCTCGCCCGAACTGGTTGCTCAACCATGACCCCCAAACCTACGCATACGAAGAGTTTGAAACCGCAGCCAATTCGGTTCTTACTGGATGCGCGTATACGCCAAGGAACATACCGTGCGAAGGTTCCAACCACCGTGCAACGGACTTTGAGGACGAGAAATGGGCTACTGAGCCCAAGGAAAGCTCAGAGATTGGCGTCAAGCTGTAAATAATAGCCGGGTAAAAGCAATAGTATCCTTTATTCGACAATGCCCAGCCATCGCTGCATTCGATCATAGACATAGAAACTCGTCGCCACCATGGGAGCCATTTTCACGTAGCCAATTGTCAGGCCCACATAGAAACCCCTGACTCCTCTTTCCAAAATTACGCGCTGAGCGGTCTCTAAAAGTCCTAATCGGCTCCCAACCACACTTCCGACTTGCATTCGTCGCCGAAGGATATCAATGGGATAAGCAACCGTTTGAGCAACAATGCCCGCAATTGCTCCGCAACATAGCTGCGCAGCTGCAGTCAGTCGAGTTGACGATCCCTTTTCAAGAGTATAAGGTGCAAAGAAAGGCGAGCGCAGCCGGTCTCTCATTAAATCATGGGTTACGAATGATGTGCCCGCATAGGGAAGTATGCCGAGCATAGTCGGACCAATTCCTTGATAAAGATTTACTAAGCTACCTTTACCGCCGCTCTCAAAGTAGATCTTCCGACAAGTCCTGAACCAAGAGGAATTGGCGTTCTGTTCTGTTTCAAACGCAAGACGGATACGGATCAGCTCAAGAGGATATGTGAAGATGGTCGCAATGGCACCCGCCATACTCCCGCAGAAGAATCGATGAAATGGGGTGTCGGTCTGGGGTGATCCGATGATTGCACGCTGCAGTTGTTCGTACGCGAGAAAGTTGATGCCAGCATACGGGAAAACGCGGATCAGGCTGGCGGCGTGACCTTTGAAGAGCGCAGATATCCCATGCGACGTGCGAATGTGACTGACAGCCTCGATTAACCCATTCCACCGGGTGGAATACCGCAAGAAATGCGGATTCGCCGTTTGAAATAAAATCTTGATTCTCTCCATTGGAGCCACAATAGTCTTGGCCTAGAGATATCCTGCTTCAGTAATCGACTGCGGCTAGTGAGAACAGACGACTCACTGCGCAGCCTGCAACACCTCCCGCTACTCCATTTCGCCAATCAAAATTCCGGGTTCGCTGGCATTTGCTGGACTCTAACCCATGATTCTCACCGTGACTGTGTTTCATCTCATTGGATGCATCGTTTACGAGCAAACTCGCAGCCCCAGTGTCACCCATTCCGGCAGAAGAAGCAGTTGATCATAGGGGGGATTGCGGGCCAGGGTTGGAAAGTCGAGACCAAAGAGGGAGATGCAAGCTACGCTAGTGTATGTCACGTGGTTCTTGCCCAAAGGGAGCCAGACACTGCCCGAGATTCGGGTTCTGCAGGGACCAGAACAGGAAAGTTCAACAGGTGGCTATTTTCGGAACAGCTCGGCTACAAGGGACAACCCCACAATCTACGGGCGCGGTGGCCATACGATTTTACTGGCACAGGGTTAAAAACGTAGAACCCTTCTCTTGGCTTACACTGAGAAATTCGGGACTAGAGATACTCCAGATTACCCTCTGGTAGGTATAGTAGATGAAGAGGAGCCGCTAAACAAGAACCCTATAGCCACAGGTCCAACCGCCAGCATGGACCGGACATTGCACGGCGTTAAGCTGATCCTCCTTACCCCACCGACCCCACCGACCCCACCGGTGGGGTGATCCACTGATTCACAGGGACGGACCCGCGATAAGCTTATACGCCTCAAAGTTCAGCATGCCAGCTCTTTGTGTCTGTCTCTCTTATCCCCTAACTCCGACAACTCAACCAGGGTATCGGAGAGACAATGAATTGCACAGGTAAATCTTGAGTCATATTGTGATCCCTTCTTTTTCCGAATCTACCGAGTTGTGGGATATCTATTGGATCTCAACTGAGGCGGTGATAGTACTATAGATATAGCTCCACAGGGGGGCTGATGTAGTACTCTTTCCTATCGTAACAGCTTAACTCTACCCTGTATATACTGCTTTCAGCTCGGATCTCCTTGTCCACAATAATCCTATAAACCTGCATAGGAGGGGAAGTTAGTAGAGGAAAGAACTAAATTTAAGGATTAACAACCGTGCTACTGGGTTTTGTTAAGTCTCCTACCAGTACTATTGTAGTATCTCATATAGTTTGTTTGTTTTGTTTTTGTTTTTTTCACGGATTTTGTCACGCCCGGAGCTGGCTATCTCCGGGGGGGGATTAACTCCGGTTGCTGAAGTATGTTGATAGATGCCAGAATCATAGTGTTCCAGAATAAAAGTCTTACCCTACCTAATAACCGTCTCAGCGCCGGATTTGTCTCCGCACCATTGCGAATTCAAGATGCCAGCCGACGAAAGTGCTGATCATGCTCCAGAGCAGTGCTCACTTGATGAAAAGAAATCCCCAGGACTGCAGGATGCAAACATCGACCAGCAATCCTCGACGTCCCCTAGCGATGAGGGTGAATATCCCACCGGCTTACGATTGATTTTCATTGTTGTTGCTTTGGTCTTGGCGATCTTCTTGACTTCCTTGGACTTCGTGAGTACGACGCTGTCTGTTGGAGACTCTGACATGCTGAAGAAAGACTAACTTTGATCTTTTTCCTTAGACCATTATTGCTACGGCTATTCCACGTATTACCGATGACTTCCATAGTCTCGGCGACGTGGCTTGGTACGGGTCGGCCTTCTTCCTGGTTACTGCTGGCTTTCAAACAGCTTGTACGCTTGACACCCCCCTTCCACCGCATTGTTCCTGCTAACAAGCACGAAAAGGGGGCAAGGCGTATCTCTTTTTTAGCCTGAAGATCACCTTTCTGCTGGCCATTTTTATCTTTGAAGTGGGCAGTTTGATCTGTGGCGTCGCCCCTTCCTCGGTGGCCCTGATTGTCGGCCGTGCGATCGCTGGTTTGGGTGCCGCAGGCGTGAATACCGGATCCTTCACCCTGGCGGCCTTTTGCGCACCACCCCAAAAAAGACCTATCTTCACAGGGTTGATCGGTCTCTCCTATGGTGAGCGCGAGGCTACTACTCCCACAGACTTGCTCGCCGAGCTAATTGGGTCTATAGGAATCGCATCGGTCGTGGGACCACTTCTTGGCGGTGTTTTCACGGAGAAAGCCACCTGGAGATGGTGTTTCTATATTAACCTCCCAGTAGGCGCTGTCTCCGCGATCTTCATTATCGTCTTTTTCCAAAGCCCGCCCGCCTCGAAGTCTACGGACACCTCATCGTTGTGGTCCAAAGTGATGCAGATGGACCCCATTGGAACCTTCTTGATGATGGCTTCCGTGACCTGCTATATCCTCGCAATGCAATATGGCGGATTGACCCATCCCTGGAACAGTTCAGTGGTCATCGGCTTAATCGTCGGCTTCGTAGCGATCCTCGCCGTTCTCTGTGGCTGGGAAATATACATGGGCGAGATGGCCATGTCCTGCCCTCGCTTGGTTAAAAAGCATGCGATTCCGTCGGCAGTGGGCTTCTTCTTCTTCGGCTCATACATCGTGGTGATTTATTATCTGCCCATTTACTTCCAGAGTATTGATGGCACTTCCGCCATCGGCTCGGGTGTTCACAACCTGCCTTTTATCCTCGCGGTGTCCATTTTCACGGTTCTCAGTGGCATTTTGATTTCCATGACTGGCTATCCCGCACCGTTTGTGATATCTGGGGCCGCAGTCGGCACCATCGGATGTGGCCTGTTATATACCTTCAATATCGGCACCAGTACAGGGAAATGGATTGGCTATCAAATCCTAGCCGGCGTCGGCAATGGATTTGGCGTCCAAGTTCCGATGATCATGGCCCAGGGAAATACCGAACCGCCCGACATGGCGGCGACAACTGCTATTCTCATGTGTAAGTGAATCTGCCTCATCCCGTCTCGTGTGCAACATCTCACGATGCTATCGGTATAGGCTTCCAAACCGTCGGTGGTGCCTTTATGCAATCCGGTGCCCAGGCCGCATTCGCAAATCGCCTCCTCATTGAACTCCCTCGAACGGCGCCAGATGTTGATCCTTCCGCTGTCGTTGCTGCGGGAGCAACAGAGCTCAAATCATTCGGTGCCAGTCTAGATGGAATCCGCCTCGCTTACATGGACGGAATCAAAGTCACATTCGCATTCGCATGTGCTTCGATGGGTATAGCTTTCCTCTTAGCCTTTTTCGCGCGGCGAGCACGAATTGGGGGGGAAGCCGTGAAGAATGCCATGGCCGCTGCTTAGATCCACAGTTTGGTGTTTCAATCCGAATCTTGTTTCTTGGTGCCTACAGTACTCTTACCATGCTCGGGGGCGGTTGAAAAAAAAGGTCATGTATCCGTGTAACATAGTAGAGTGCTCCGATTCAAGCTACGTTCATATTGTCGTGAACAGAATGCTGCAAGAAATTTCAATAATATCATAATACGTCCGAAGATTGTTATGCGATTCCCGTAGCACACTTTCCAGCCGCAGGGAGAGCTTAGACCGTCTTCCGAGCTTAGCTAGAATCGACTCAAGGGATGAACTGCTTGAATCTATTCCCACTCGCCTGAGTCGTAGCATTCATGCCTCGGCTACTTGTGAGGTTGCATCCGCTGCAACAGCACAAAGTCTACGAAACGTCCTCTGATTGTTTCGGTTACCCTGCTTCCGTTCGAAAACCGATGTTTTCTTACCGCTAGTAAGTATATAGCCATTCCTTGACCGGGCTCAATCCCGTTACCTGACCCTGGTAAATGCAAGTGGCTTCAGATATTATCCCCGCCATCCAGTTATAACTGCGTGGCATGAGCGCCGGGATTGGCTTTGACACGACCGAATAAGACAACACAACCTACTTTCCCAAGATAGTAGCATCGAGGCCCGGTTCTCCGTCGCACATGGGGTCAATGGTGGGGATGGAAGAATGGGTCGGCGGTGGGGAGGAATTTGGGGGTTCATGTTGCAGCAAAAGTACGTACACCCATCCCTACACCATGTGGCGACCCTGAGTCTCCACCCCACAATATCACCATATACTACATCAGGAAATCCGTTTCGGGAGAGTTGAGTATCGTGGGAGGGGATGTGGCCTCAGGTTACGTAAGCCTTTTGATACGCTCCTGGAGTGTCGAACAATAAGCTCAGCTGTGCGGCGGGTCCGTACCGGTCCCGACTTACCCGCTAAGCCTCTTCCTGCAGGAGCCCTAATTACTGAATGTTCAGGGAATGCATAAAATCCACTCATCGGCCTTGAGTTCTGGTCATTGGTTGAGTCGCATCTGCTGGTGGGGTAATGCGGAGGTAAATTAAAGTCCGACAAAGTGGGATGGAGGCTTGTGTCGAATGTTGTAGCAGGGAGGCTTAACTCTGACGTGAGAATCTATTCAATATTGGAACAGGCTGCATTGTATGGCGACGATCGGGCACTGCGTTGAAAAGCAGAAAGGTCTTCGGGTGAGAAATCTGTCTGTTCTAGGAATAGAGTGGGTTCAGAACTAATGTACCAGATGGGACGAACTGTTCGTATGTTACAATACAAAAAAGTTAATACTATGAGCGTGTATGTATGATCGTGGGGGAAATGCAATGGGAGAGTAAGGGCATGCCAGTAGAATTCCAGCATACTATATGATGACGTGAAAAAGGGTTCTGTTCGATCTTAGAATATAAATGTCGTTAGAAACCCCAGTGTAGCGACAAGAACATGAACATATCATCGTGCTATCTACATTCGCTTCATACATAAGAGAAAATATCCTTGAGATCATTTCCGCGCAAGAAAACCAAGATGGCAGCTCCAAATCGATTGATTGTCTTATCCAATCTCATTGCCGAGAAGACGAAAGTCATCTCGGATTTCCTAGCCTCCAAGGGACTGGAGCCTCCCTCTTTCGATGTCGATGGGCTAGCTGACTATGCAATTTCGGCTGACGACAAAGAGGCCTATGAGGCTCGCCTGGAGTTGATTGCAGCGTCAAAAGAGCTCTATGCCCTTTCCCACGGCCCAAAGGATCATATTCGCAACCTTTGCTGGGATGTAGGTTTGCGCGGCTTGCATTTACATGGGAAACACAAAGGAAATATCACTGATGCAGCTTCACAGGCCATGGATCCATTGTCGCTACATGCCATTTGGACCTTCAGGGTGCCACAGGCGGTGCCACTCACTGGCACAATATCTTACGAAGACCTAGCTAAGAAGTGCCACCAATTGAGTGGAATTTTCGTACCACTCTTCACCTTCCGACGGATCGTCCGCCACGCTATCACTAACCGCTTCTTCTGGGAGCCGGAACTGGGATTCGTTGCGCACAACCGGGCATCCCGAGTGCTTCTCGAGGAGGAAACCTTGGATGCTGGGTAGGTCTATTCTGTAATGACATGTGGCCTGGCTTCGTCTACACCGTTGAAGCTCTGCGGAGGTGGCCCGGGAGTGGGGAGCCGAATGAGACTGGTATCAACGTCGCCTATAACCATAATCTCAACTGGTTCGATCACACCTCTCGCAATGACGTTGTCGCCGACAGATATAGCAAAAGTATGAAAGCACACGGTGGCGGTGTGGGATTTGATGTCTCGCACACGGTGTCCGGTTACCCATGGGGAGATATTGGTGAGGGAACGGTCGTTGACGTGAGTATCATGCTCCTGCTGTTCCATCTGAGAATCAATGGCATGCGTTTTCTGACTGGTAAATCTTGGCTTGTGTTTAGTGTGGCGGCAGTGGAGGCTTTGCCTCGATGGCGATTGCGGAGGCACACCCCAAGCTGAACTTTGTAGTTCAGGATCAAGAGCATACAATCACGGAAGAGACCAAGGCTGCAGTGCCGCAACATCTCAAGTCCCGAGTTAAGCTTGAAGTACATGACCTGTTGAAACCACAGACTGTAGTAGCAGATGTCTACTTTTTCCGCTGGGTCTTTCATGGCTTTGCTGAAAAGTATGCTGTCCAGGTGTTGCGGGCTTTGATTCCGGTGCTTAAGAAAGGAGCCAAGGTTGTCATCAACGACGGCGTGATCCCCGAGCCCGGTACTGTCCCATGGATGGAATATCGAAGCATTAGATGCATGGACCTTTTGGGACAGGCAGTGAACAATACCGGGGAAAGGGCCTTGGATGACTGGATAGGTCTATTCAAAGTGGCCGATTCTCGATTCAAGTTCCTGAATGCCTGGAAGCCCCCGAAGAGCACAATTTGGTTCGTTGAAGCCGAGTGGCAGCCATAAAGCTGATTCTAGTGTACGGCACCCGAGCTGTTCGAATCGTCATGGCAGGATTTCACCATCGGCGTTTCACGCCCAAGCATTTGCTTGGAGTTAAAAATCCTAGAACTATCAGTTGACAACCAGTGCTCGGAAATTGAATTTCTTGGTTTTATACATATGTAAATGTATACACGTAGGGCTATCGCTCGCTCCTTAGATGTCTCCGACTGCATGAGTTTCAAATATTCATAGTAGCAAGGAAACATTAACTGATATAGAAAGATAAAAGATTTCATCCCGTGAACGATAGTACCTGAGTACCCCTTGATTAGAAGTAACACTACGACAGGAGAGCGCTTCTAGATACAAGGTAAAGCTAAGACTAGGACTCCCTAGCTAGCTTCTCAATAGTCTGACACAGTTCTGCTCACGATATTCCCAATATATGTAAATCAATAGATAACCTTGGAATCAAGTAGATTTCCATGTCGTCGTGTGAGATTCTACAAAGCTACCTAGGCATTCAAGGGAATACCACACGTAAGTTTAAATATCTGCTTAAATATATGCTCAACGTAGTTGTAGAAACCCCCGAACTATCAAGTTACTGCATTTGCCTAAGGGTAGCAATGGACATATCACACTGTAAACATGAGGAAAGTACATAGTCTATAAGTCTATATAAACCTAGAACTTAAAATGAAGATTGACCTCCAAGGTTATTGTGTTAGGTTATCCGCGTAAGCTTTCAATGCGTCAGCCATAATGCTATACAGTCCTATTGTAGCGCTGTTCTTGAAGATCAAGGACCAGGCATAAACCAATTGTATGGAATATGGCTTTGACGCGATAGTTGGCTCTAGGTCTATTTCCCCTAGCGCCTCCTGTATTGCTTTTAAAATGTCATTTTCCTCAGGAGATCGATCTGATCTATTGCGTCTCAACTGCTCCCTCGTCCAAAAGCTTAGAAAAAGACCTTTGGAATAACTTCGGTTAATTCTGGTTATTACCAGCGCAGGGCAGGGCGAGTGGCTGCCAAGGAAAGGGGAGGTAGAAGAAATGAAACCACTCACAGCATTCCAATGAATAGGCGTTGAATAGTAACTTAGAGTTCCATCCAGAGATGGATCCTGCTTGGGCCATTCCCATTACTACTGAAATCTGGAGTGCTTCAATAGCACACCAAGCGGCTTTCACACATGTCCTTGAGCTTGAGATGTTGACTTTGATTTCATTTAACTTGGAAGTGATATTCTGCATATTTCGAGTCGTCAGGGCCGCTCGGAGAGGCCTGAAGTTTCCACACAGTCGGACATGAGCCTGACGATATAACGAAAGGGCATTTGCGGCAATCACTCCGCTAGGGTACCTCGATGAACAATGAAACTCGGGGTTCTGCTCGGAGTAGATCCGCCACCGAGCCAACGATTCTTCAACCCGTTGTACGTGTGTTGGTAACGAATTCATAAGCCAGTTGTCCTGGTAGAGATTCGCCAGATGTTTAACAATACCGTGTAATGTCAGATAGGACCCGAAAAGACTCAGTCGAAGCGGTGGTGCACCTTGGGCAGACATGATATTGGCTAGGGCCGTTGAGAACTGAATAGGGGGTTCGGAATTGGACTTTCGCTTTTCCAACCACGCTTGTGGCGATACACTTGTCCATTCCGATTCATCGCAGGGCAGAAAGCAATCGCTAATATCCAGGCTCCAGGAATAGCTTGCCGTATGAAATGTGGCTCCTAGGGCACACAGATAGACATATATTGCACAGATTGTTCTTTCAAGTCGGGTTAGATGCACTTCAAATTTCTAAGATTGGATACCTCCACGCACCGTACAGTCGTCTCAGAATCAATCCACTTCTGCCATTGCTCTAGAATACTGCCACTTCCACCGACTGACTCTGGCACGTATGGAGAGATCTTTCTATACTGAATGCCCTGTGCAGTAAACCATGTATCAGTGGCCTCATTGTAAGAACACACCAGAAGGTAAGGATTCCAGAATGGGGTAGAGCAGAAGACTGCACAAGGGCTGTCTCCAAACGATGAACCCTCTGAATTACTTAGACATACCTCGATCAAAAGAGATGCCAACGATGCAGATTCTTGAAACGTACGAAAATCGCTGTTTTTTGTACCATTTGCCATGATCAATAGCAGACACTGCAGTACCCATAGCGGCTCGTCTGCGATAGTGAGTGGGCTCAATTCAATCTTCTGCTAATTAGAGAACATGCCTAAAGAGTTGTTTTGCTTCACTCACATGGTTTTTTATGCACATCTGGGCAATGCAATGAAGTGAAGTTGCAGTTGCATCGTCGTCATAGTAACTGGCGCCAATGGATGCCATCGCAAAGATCATGCAAGGAGGGGCCAGCTCTGCTTTCCAGGTCGGCATATGAATACATGGAATGTAAATGAGAAAGCACTCAGCGAATGCTCTGAGTAATCTCTCCAATGTCAAGCGACTGGGAAGTTTGAGATCACTCAAACTTTGGACCTAGTTTGTGAATAGTCAGGTACTGAGTGGGGGTGGGGCATAGCGTTGTCCCAGGCATTATATCAAAGCTTACCGGTCTAACAATATTGAGTGTGGACGCAAGATGATGCCATTGTTGCTCGGAAGCTAGCTGATGCCATTGTTGTTCTGATATGGCGAACGAACCTTTCCATGCCGGGGACTCCTCCGCTTGCGATGAGGATGCTGTGTTGGGATGGTTATCTAAGGGAGGTGTAAAGCACCTCAATGTCAGACTGGCAGGTGAATCTTCCTGTGAGCTCTCTTCCGAATTGCTCGGCATGGAAGATTTGGGATCCTTGGGAAGGTTGAGCGATGAGGTCGAAGAGTTCAGGGTCGAAGTATACACAAAGGTGACGGGGTCGACGGCAGGAGGATGCGCCATAGCGGCCAAGCCCTCCGTATGATTCGGTGCCATGGCCGATGAGGTTAAGGGGCTAGGCATTCGCGTGGACGTGGGATGCATAGACATCGACTGGCTTTCAATGTAGTTTCCTTGAGTAGGATATTGCGGGAAGGGTCCCATATGATACCTTCATGGTGCCTTCTGAACACATCCTGTCGAGTAAAGGTTGCATGACAAAGAGTACATCTAAACGGGCGCTCATTACGATCTAGAGGTCTCGTTAATTTGGTTGCTCCCGCCATGGTGGGTCAACATACGTGAGCGCTCATGCCTCGAAAGGTGCTCCGATCGGGCGAATGCACGGGCGCAGTAGGAACATTGTTTATCACGGCGCGTCGGGCCAAGCCCTGGATTGGCACTCATTATTCTGGGCTGCTCCAGACAGAAACTTGCAAGGTCTCTTGCTAGGATCACTGCTTTTTCTTCCCGAGTCCCGCAGTTTTAGTAATTTTCCAACTCATGAAGGTTCATGACTGCAAGGAAGAAACCCTTGTTGTCAGGTGACATGGTATGTATTTAACTGTGGAACGTATTACCGATTTTACCAACCACTCCAGCGCAACATATTTGAGTCGAACCAATCCACTTGAAAAGGTCCTCTAGATTCTCTACCAAGTATATTAGTCCATGGGGTCCATGATCGGACTATCGGCTTGTCCCGGTTCGGAAAATATTTATATACCGCGTTTATGATTTTAATCCAGTTTGTTTTATGATTGGATACTGTCGCCCCAAGTTTATATATATTTCTGACCACGCCACCGTCTGTCTACTCCTACTCCTACTCCTACTATTTCTACTCCTATTTCAATCTCCTTTATCTAGCTATGTAACTACTTGTGCTATAGGGTCTGAATTTGCGTATCTTTCATTCAAATTCAAATTTAATAAATTATATATAGTATATTTTATAGAGTACAGAGTAGAACGCTACGAAATAAGTGTGTGGCTTGATGTCGGTAAGAAATCGGAACGGCCCACACCGGTTGAATTCGGGCCGCCCCCCCGCCCTCCCCTCGATTCTTGTGATTTGGCGATAAGCACTAGTCTTTGGCCGGAGAAGCACCGCGGCACGCGTACGTTCGGTAACTTTTTTATTGGTAATACTAAAACGAACCGCGGTAAGATGTATGTACCTCACCTACCATTGCAGACATTACGAAGTCTGAGGAGCCGGGGTAATACATGCTGGATAATTGATTGTGACAGATGGGTCTCGGTCAACATCCGCGGGCAAATCAAGCGAATAAACTACAGACTTGCTCATTCCTACCTTAGTTAGACTTACAGCTCACCGCAATCCGCGGAAAGAACTATATCCAGACGGAAGAAGGTCGGTGATGTATTAGAGATTCATCAATTGCCCTTGCTCCAACGGCTTCTTTATCCACACAGGCACGCCGGAATTTGATCACGGAGAGGAGTTACTGAGGCTGAAAACACTTAATCATAATGGTTTGCCCAGCCGACAATGGACCGCCAATACAAGTCCCCTAAGGCGCTTAGGATATGACGCGATCAAGGTATACTGGGAGCAAACTATGAACGTGACCGGTAAACTGGCGTATGCGTTAAACAGCTGGAAGCTCAAGATTGGGCTTTGTTAAAGGGTCCAGAGCCATTGGCATGCTATGCTGCCTTCGAGGACCTCCGAGCTGAACCTCCCAAGTTCGCGGAGGCTGTTGATGGATAGACTAGTAAGTGAGTTAGGCTGTTTGGCTATCGTTTTGCTTTGGTTATATCTCTTACGCACAGGACGGCTAATTGTTCTAGTGCTTATAAAACCCTTGTTAATTGGTTACCATGGCTTAAGCATGTGTGGTACTACAAGGTGTGCTATGATATAAATCCTTGCCTTTATCCGTCCTTACTGCACAAATACCCGCAGATTATATGGGGTATCCCTATTACTAGATTTGCCATGGGCCCCTTTCATCACTACATTTCCCTAGTTCATAGCAATAATAATGCTGACTACATTCTCGACTAAAAGCAAAGGTTGGTTGGTTGGAAATAGACCGGCCGTAGTCAGCCCTCGCGGAGAACATCGACCGGTCACGCAATACTGGCAACCATATCAATACTCGTGCGGCTATTAGTTAGGTCTTATATCAGCTGGTCAGTCCTTGGTCCGCATCAGTACCGTGATTGACAAGAATCCGGTACGAGCGAGGCAATAACAGTAGCTTAGATCCCAGGTAATATTGAATAGCCCTGCTAGTAATCCCCGTAGCGCGGACTTTTGTAACTCCTATAAATAATTACTCGCCATTAGAACTTGAATACGTCTCCGCATATTAACTAATTTGATGAATTATATTTGAATCATGCTCTTTCTGGCGTACTTCAACTTTAGCTGTCATTCTCGAGTCAAGTTAATGCACACATTCTCTGATCGCAATACATCATTTGAAGGGACCGCGAAGGCCAAGCACCTACAGAGGGTGATGTCGGCGTGCTCCCATTTTTCGAAGCCAGAATGTAATCTTTGTTAATCTACTGGAAACGTTCAAAACAAAGCATTAAATATGACAAAAGACCCTTTGCCGTAGCCGACAAAACATCCCAGATCTCATCACCCTGCAGCTGATACGTAGTCAACTACACAATATCAATCAGCTAGAGCAACTTGATATACACATCTCATGTTCACAATCCTTATACACATATTCCTACGCATTCCCACACAATCCAGTAGCTTGCAACGACGCCAGCACGTTCAAAAAAGCCTGGTTGATTTCCGCCTCCAGCCTTCCCCCAGCACGACTGTATCGTCGCTCCGAAGACCGATCTTTCCTCCCACCATGATTCGCTGACTGTCCGATGGGACCGTCACCGCGTTTGGAAGCCCAAATGCCTCAGTAGCGCTTTCGTCTGGTGGGGTGGTTGTGTGGAGGCGTAAATATATATTGTAGTAACTGTGGTTGGGGCATTATGTGTGGAGGTGATTTTCCGGCGTTAACTAAACTTACCCCGGATCAATTTTCTTTTCGGAATCTGCTGTCTCTTGATATTGTTCCACTGATGGATGAAATGGCTTGAAATCCCGGGGTAGATTTAATACTAGCATAGATAATAAATAAAACGCAATGGGAAAATATCTCAACCCCATGTAGTCGATATTTCACACTAGAATATAGATACAGGAGGTATGGTATTGCCAACCCTATCAGAACTAGGTTTATCAACAGGGCGATGAGTCTATACCCTGCAACATGGATTAAACGAGCTATGAAAAGTTCTATACCACAAGGAATGATCAGTACTCTATGCCTGTAGTTTCATGTCAAGGCCCATGCTTCAGTGTGCGGTTCGGCATTGTTCTATATGAGTCAGTATAGGCACATTAAATGCCACCGTCGCATCGTGCCATCTAGAAAGTAATTCTGTATTCTAGATTATAGCTGTAGTAGTCCCAGAGTTTGTACTTTTATTTCAGGTATATTGCACCCGATTGCTACTGCATGTTTGGTCAAATACTATATGTTTGCTCAGATAGATAATTACATACAGAGCAAAGAGCGATCGCTTGATTGCATGGGGCATCCGAATCCAGTATGCAGCCCACACATAGTGATAAATCACAGTCCAAACGTCGTTTACTTAAGTTTCTGATACCTAACTGCACGCCCAAGGGTTGCGCCACCCGGGCTCATGACCTGTGGAGCTAAGTGATTGTCTACTTGATTCTACTTACAATTCTTATCCTGTACCGGGGCGGGACGCGTCGTATACATATCTGTTCCCAACCCCTGCCATGAGATTCTGCTATATAATATTTAACAGCACAAGTATCCGAAGACTCTGGTTCTATGTTTCTTCATATTATACTAGTACCTTCCTGTAAATACATCCTCATTTCTGCTCTTTTTGTAACCAAACTAGAGTTGATATTGGGTTGGTTTCGGTGTCGAGATCCAAGACCCTCCCCCGGAAGTCAAAATTGCCACGCCGCCTGATTAAGTGTTAGGGTATAAGGCTATAATTAAATGGTATAGGCACCCGTGCACACTCCGATTCGGTTACCATTCCTTCCTGAAATATTGTGTGAAAAATGACCAAACGATAACATTCTATGAGCAATACAGGAGACACATATCAAATGCCTCTACCACTCAACTGCTATGCGCCAAAGCAATGGCGACGACGCTCCCAGCAGCATGGCTGATGCTGACCTCGATACGGTTAATACCCTTGAGAGTCGCTGCCTCCAGGGCAGGGCCATGAAGCTATGGTAATGAATTTTGTCAGTCATGGTTGCGCGCATGCTAGGTACGAAGACGACTCAGTATATCCTGGGTTATGCTCACCTTCACCTTTGGTATTCCCGAGTCGCTAAGTATTTCAATCGATGCCATCTCAGCCCCAGGACCGCGCGATTGAACAGACAGGCTCTTGAAAACAGCTTCTTTCGCACTCCAACGCCCAGCATATGAAGCGCGAGGATTCGGCGAACTGAGGCAGATCTCCCTTTCAATGGCGGTAAAATTCCGCTCCACGAATATAGCATCTTCACTATTTACACTAGAAATGTCTTCTACATCGATGCCTACGGAGATCGCAGAGGCACCGAGTGAAGATGCGGGTATGGATTCAATCATCTCTTGAACGGCTCCATATAGGGGCTTGGAGTCCATTGGTTGCATGTCCAACGTTGCGGACGCTTTCTGGCTCTTTAGCACATGTAGATCCTGTTGAGCGGTCTCAAAAGCGGGCTGCTTCGTGACGAGTGATCCATCCTCTGAAAGGCGACAATGGGGGTCTAGGAGCATCTGGCGAAGTTGCACTTGATCCTTCCACGGTGAGCTGCTCTTTATCTTAACCATTGAATTATTGAGGAGCGCAAACACATATGCCGGATTCGCTGACTGCTGACGTTGGAGAGCACGAGATCGGTAGTCGTCAAATGTTGATTGTGAGACCGCAGCAAAGACATAATTTGGAGAGATAACTATCGCAACCGCACCCTTTTGACCGAACCCGAATGAGGTAACCATGGCTGCTCTAATCTTGTCTAGGGTAAGAGACTGCGAAGGATAGGCAAGGTGCTGGAACTGCCTCAGCTGCTCGTCCACATTATCGGCATTTCGATTACCTGGAACGATTCCTGTTCGGAGCATTTGGAGACATCCGTTGACTTGCCATGCCCCCGCTGGCCCTTTTGGATGCCCGGTTAAGCTCTTCTGACAGACTACTAGTAAGGGATTTCCCAATGTCCGACCCAAATGGGTCATCTGCGTATTGACCACATCACTTTCGTTAAGATCATTAGCCTTGGTTGACGTTCCATGTAATGAGGCCACTTGAATATCATCGATAGTAAGCCCCCATGTAGCGAGCGCTGCTTTGATGGGAGATATCGAACGGTCTTGCAGCCAGAGGTTGTTGGCCCACCGGTGCTGTGCCCCCTGGACCCTAGAGACCCTGATAGTCTCCAGGTGCTGAGAAGGCCCCTTGGCTAGGAGCTGTTTGTTATGCCAATTATCTATCTCGACCATCTCATCTTGAAACATTGTACGGCGATAATTCAGATCAAGAAAAGGCGAGCTTTCGCCATTGATCGCCTGTCGGGCAGCACATAGGAGGCCCTTTCCTGGAGCAGGAACGGAACGTCCAATTTGATCGCCAGCCAGCTGGCTGTACGCGACAATGCCATAAATAGGAAGTCCCATCTCCATTGCAAGCTCCGCGGTCATTAGGATCTGAGCCCCACTACCGGCAGATTCAACGAAACCTTGCCGGGATGTCGCAGTGGGACGTGACATCTCGCCCGGCGGTCGACCGGCCTTTAGGTCCTCCGTGCTATTAACAGTAGCCTTCATCTGCGCGAATTCATAGGAGTGCTGTTCTGTAAAGTCGTCCGCCGCACCAACCAAGGCTACTCTATACTTCCCAGACTGAATCGCTTCACATGCGCTATCCAGACTCTCCAGAGCAGTGGCACAGGCTCCAACAGGAGTCCTGAGCGGGCCAGTGGAGGAAAAAAGCAGCATATTTACCCAAGCACCGATGGTGTTGTAGAAGCTCTCTGCCAGGATATCATTCCGTACTGGCCTTTCCATATAGCGGTCTCGGAACATTCGTTGTAATGATATTATTGGACCACCCCCCGACCCAAGGCAGCTGGCGAGCTCGGAAACGTGAATGTGCTTATATAGTTCATAAGGATCCGTGATACCAGCGGACAGCAACGCTTCTGACAAGCAGCACAGCATGTAAAGTGTGAGGCGGTCCACTTGTTGCACAACATCCTCCGGTATTCCGTACTTCAGAGGGTCCCAGCCTTTGGGGACCTGACCGGCCACCGTCGTTTCGAAGATGGTTGCTTTAGGGACCAGGAGGCTGGTTCCCCTTTTTACCACGACCCTGTACTCTTCATCTGAAAGTGGATATATGGACACGTTGTCCCCGTGGCGGCGCTTGAACGACTCTGCGGTAGCCTTGGAGCATTCAAATGGCGGGAGGTCTCCGTCCACTACAATTTCATGTAGCGATTCCTTCTTCGCTGGATCATATCCCAACGCCGCCTCTGGCTCAACCATTCTCAACCCAACATGGTTCATGATGTGCTCATGGTACTTCTGGGGTATCTCATCATCACGCACAGGGTCATTAGTTTGTTCATCAATCCAACCGGAGTAGGCCTGTCCATTAATATCCCCAGAAAAGTACTTGATTAACCCCATAATCCTCGCGATTTCCACATAGCCTTCTAGGGAAAACCTTCCCTGGTGTTCTATTTCCCAACGTGTACGAGAGTTACCCCACGGACCTAACTCGGAATATCCGACCACAACCACCGTCTGCGAAAGGTCCACCATGCCATCTAGTCTCGGCAAATTTGCTCTTATTTCATCGTGATGAGGAAGTTCTGGGAAGTCCAACTGTATGTTGGCGCGTCGGAGGAAGTTTGGTGTTGCAGGTTGGGTACCTGTTGCTGGACCGCACAGAATCTCTTCATGGCGCATTTTCTCCGCCTGTAAGGCTTTCTGGACCTTTTGCTTCTTAGCGACAGTGGCGAAGGCCCTGGAGATTGTTTCTTTTATGTTCCACATCTCACACAAACCAGCTGCCATGTCTACGAGGATTGGCCGTCCTTCCAACATTGCAATCATATCTGTTGTCATCAGGGACAGGATATTGAATGCAGTTTCTGCAGGCGTGAAGGTGATTACTCCAAGTTTCTCGATTTCCTCGGAGATATTATTAAGAGGTTGCATGATGCCCGTGCCTCGTGTCCAGCCGATAGCTGTACCGCATATATGCAAATAGTCGGCCCAGGTTTCCGAGTAAAAGCGGTTGAATAGGGACCGTAAGGCAATTTTGGACTCCGGATACAAGCCGTCTGAACCGATTGTACCCTCATTGCATGTCATGGGAAGAATCACCGTTGTAGGTCTAGTTGTTATATTCCGACGTTCCTTTTCCTTTCGTATCTCGCCTAGAATGCGTAGGAGATTGACAAGCATTGTTCGCTGTGCCACTTCGGCACGACCATCGAGCATGTGTATCTCACCGACCTGGTTGAGGGCAGCAAATGGAATAACAAAATCAAGGTCTCCACCTGTGGGAGATTCGGGCCCATAGATGTATTGGATAAGGGCCTCGCAGTCCTGCTGGCTTCCCTGGTTCATTGGGACAACAGTGAGTTTCGCACCTCGCCCAGCATATGCTTTATACATATCCTGGAATGCCTGGCTACTGGTCGTGATTGATCGGCTGGTGGTGACGACAACATGTGCACCTCCACTAAGGAGGCCCTTCACAATTTCCGCACCGATAGAGCCGGTTCCAGCTCCAGTCACCAAAGCAGACTTTCCAATATATGTAAATCCCGTCTCTGTACCAGCTTTCATTGCTTCTGCCAGAACGCGAGTTGCATCTACGTCATATGCAAAATTTGCGCCTTCTGCACGCGTTTGGACATTAATGAATGGTAGTTCGGTACCAGATGCAGACATACGTGTCTCGCGAATAAGGTCTGCGTAGCCGGAGGTTTTGCGAGGTACGTCTACAGTGCGCACTGTACCGTCTATGTCGATAATTGTCTTGGGAGCTAGAGCCGGCTGCTTGTACATAAAGACCGGGTCTGCTAGCTCCGCTGTCTCAGAGAGCTGCAATAACTTGTGGTAAAAAGCACCCTGCCCTGTAGCTGTAATGCTGCTAGATACTTGACTCTGTAGTATATTGGTGCAGCTAGGCTCCCACCGGTTCAATATGTGGCGGAGATCTTCATCTCTGTCCAACAGTGACTCTTCGCTGGAACTGCGAGTGCGACGAAGCCATCTGAGTAAATCAATCCTTACCCAGTTCCACCAGGAGTCATATTGGCGGATCTGCCCTAAGTCAAATACTGGCTTGATTCCATCAAGGAACTGGTCTCCCAATTCAGCTTGAATCTCTGCCAGCCGCTGGGTCATCTCCTCAGCCGACGCTGTGAGTTCCTCTAACCGTCCATCGCTCTGTGGCTGTATGAGAGTGTGATACGCCGCTAAAAGATTCGATTGGTTTGGGTCTAGGATGTGGTCAGGTAATGAATTCCCATTTGCAGTCCGGTTAACTGGTGGCTCAGGTATGGTACTCGTCTGCGAGATGGCAAACGAGATTCCCACGTATGGCGCATAGCGTGAGACAACCGTATCGAAAAAGTCCTCCGCATCCCCCCTAGAGGCGAGACGGGAAGTAGGCTGAAGGGTTATTGCAAAACAAAGAGGGACAATAGAATGATCCTTATCTAGGCCCCAGGAAGATTCCAGATAGTCGTGAATTGTAGCCTTATTAAACCCAGAGGGCATTTTACCGTTGATAAATTTCGACAGGAGTGGGGACATTTGCTTGCCAGGTTGATGGGAAAACCTGGCCTGCAGAGCATCGCCCAGCGCCTTCAGTGGCATGTACTCCGCCCCATCTGGAAGCCTCCCAAACTCCGACACCAATGCGCCAATTATCTCGTTCTGAATCGTTGACCGTCCTGTTCTGGACGTTAGTGCACTTTATTCAGGGAAGGCCAACTCCGGTTTTCGCTCTTACCGTTGGAGCATTCCTGGATAGTGGAATCTGGTGGGATGTGGTCAAAGGGTTTGTTAAGCTTCTCCCCAACTAATGCCACAAGGATATGACTTGCAGAGAGAGCCACTTGTTGCGTAGGGGCTCGATTCATTGACTTGGAAACCGATGGGGCTTGAGGCGTGGGTTGAGGTGCTGCAGGAGGATTCTCGGCCTTTGAAACGGAATCCTCCACTTGTATGGCTGGAGGAGGCGCATTATTAGAAGCCTCCTCTTCCTGATTATATTCATAATGAATATCACTGGAGTTATCCGCAATTGAAAGGAATGAATATTTTGAGCTTTGCGCCGGGGAGCGAGTCAAATGTCGTTTTTCAGCGGTCTTTTTCGCCATCGTGGCCAATATCGTGCGAGGTCCGACTTCTACAACGCGATGAATCGGTGGTTTTTGCTGTAGCAGCTCATTTTGCGTCTCGATCCTGGGCAATGTCACTCATTCTGCTATCCCCAGCCAGCCTGCGCAGGTGCAAGACTCACCATTGCACGGGTGACGCCAAATGGTACCTGTAAGTAGCATATATGGTGCCAAACATTTAGTTATCATCATAAGAGATTAATGTTTCACCACACTTGGCACTTACGACAAAAGCTCAATTAAGAGTTCGAATGCTATTGAATCCTGATCATCCGGCGCCTTCGAAACTGAGACCGCCTGGGTAGCCATTTCCGCGTAGCTCAGAGAACCACTGACTCAACTGTAGGGAAGGATAAGGTGGCGGCTGTGAGACATGAAGCATGGGTATGAGCGAGCTACTGAGATTGTTCTTTTAAGGATACTATGAAAAAGTCGTTCTTAATTTGACCATATCCACGCACTTAGGGCTACTGGATACCGGCCCCACCTGTCCGTCGGCGATCGGCGTCGTCGATCCAATAGTTGCCTCAATGTGATGTCTCACTTTCTCCAGGACCGGTATCTCCTGCAGAAAGCCGAAGGCCGTAGTGACCGAGACACCGGGGATTTCCGCTCCCTTGGTCCTCGCCAATCATGCTATGTAAAAACAACAAGACCGTACTGCCGGTTGTGATCGCCGGCACTAGGGTGCAGTGTCCGAAGCTTGGCCAGCCTAGGAGCGGTGAGCAAAAGCAGCCCGAAAGGCCGTGATTGCATCTCACGTTGTGCCGTGGAAATAGCTTAATTGCAGTTCACATTGTTTGTGGTATATCACTCATATGGTCAAGGAGGGATATGACCCAAGGCACTAATAAGCAACAGACCCATGATGCAGGATTAGGCCGTCCCCCTACCTTCAATCTTGAGAGATTGTATGTACATTGGAGGCATCCCAACAGCTAGTATGATCCACTCGGACCGCGCAGTTCCATCCTCATCGCCCGCTGAGATGAAGGGCCGGCTTTCCCTGATTTTCAAGGGCATACTAGTCTCTTTAACCATTATTGATCTTGACGATTGGAATTTTCTCCAGGGTCAGAGAGACGATTTTCTTTGGTCTCTCGTACAACTTCCCACAGACAGCGAAGGCCCCAGAAGCCCAGTTGAGGTGGTGTTGTCTTTTATCCGATATTTACTTGACCAGGAAGCAACACCTCCATCAGCCCTTCGAGCAGTGGTCCGCGCGTTTGACGATCAATTTCTACGGGACTCCGAGGTACATGCAGTTATAGCCCAGATTACAAAGAGTCCAGCTGAACGTGGACGATGGCTGGAGACATACTACCGGGCGGCGTGTACGACGCCCGGGGCTTATACGGGTCCTCAAAGCGCCCTTTTGCAGGAGGCACTACGAGGAAACTTCCAGCTGGTGGGCATCTTTGGAGGACAAGGGTCTAGAAATACATTATGCATTCAGGAGTTGAGGGAGCTTTACAATACCTACCAGCCATTTTTGGGCGATCTTTTCCGCGTTGCTGGTGGCCGCCTTCGCGATCTATCCAGATCTCCTGAGGCCAGCACTCAACTTAATCATCCTTTGGATTTGGAATCTTGGATGCGCGATCCACAAACCACCCCAACTCCGACGGAAATGGCGGAGGCACCCGTGAGTATGCCGATCACCGGCCTGCTTAGCCTCGCCCGGTACGCCGTTTCATGTCATCTCCTGGGCCTTACACCAGGACAGTTGGGGTCCCATTTCAACAGCTTCACGGGCCACTCCCAGGGCATATTGACTGCAGTGGTTGTCGCATTATCGGACACATGGGCATCGTTCTACCACTATGCGGAAATGGCCTTGGAGCTTCTGTTTTGGATTGGATTTCAATGCTACAAATCCACTCCTCGAGCTTCATTGCCTGCAAATACCGAGAAGTCTCCGTCGTGCATGCTAGATATCTCTGGGATGCAGCTTTCCCAGGCAGAGTCAACAATTGCTCAGATCAATGAAGGTCTCGATGCCTCCGAGAGAGTACATACGAGCGTTGTGAATACGCGTGATCGGGTGGTGATCGGAGGGCCTGCTGGATCATTAGCACGCCTGGACAGCTATTTAACATCGATAGCTGCCTCCAGCAATAATCAGAACCGGGTTCCTTTTAGCAGCCGCAAGCCTATATTTAGTCATGGATTTCTTCCTATCAGCATTCCATTCCATACACCACACCTAAACCACATCTCAACGGAATTGAAAACACGATTTACCGACAAAGTGGTCATCGGAGCACAGCTCCGCTTGTCTGTTCGGCACACCAGGACTGGACACGACATCAAGCAGTCGCGGACTGCAAACCTGATTCCGATGCTGATAGATGCCATCCTGCTTGAGATTTGTGACTGGCCCGCAGCTCTGGCACTCCCCGAGTCCACTACTCACATCCTTTCATTTGACCCTTCCATGGCTCCGTTGGCCAAGCTGAATGTAGATGGACGCGGGATGCGAATAATAAGCGCCCTCCAGACTGATACCCAGGACGAGGAAATCGGGAACATACTTGACCTGCTCTCACCATCACTTCTGGATTCGTCCACCAAAATACGGCCATGGGGCCAGCGGTTCCGACCACGATTATCAGCATCGGCTGGCGGCCTAGGTCGGTTGGAAACCAGACTAACAGAGCTGTTAGGTACACCCCCGGTCATGGTTGCTGGTATGACACCGACTACAGCGCATTGGGATGTTGTTTCTGCCATTGTTAATGCCGGCTACCATACGGAGCTGGCTGGTGGAGGCTATTATAAAGAAGGCGATCTCTCAGCGGCGGTCAAGAAAGTGCTTCAAAGCATCCCTCAAGGGCGGGGGGTCACGGTGAACTTGATATACGCAGACCCAAAGGCCATTAGCTGGCAAATTCCTCTACTGCAGCAACTGTCTCGAAACCAGTATCACATCCAGGGCCTAACTATCGGAGCTGGGGTGCCATCTGCCGATGTAGTGGCTGAGTATATTAACTCTATAGGGATTCAGCACATCTCCCTAAAGCCAGGATCCGTGCCAGGTATAAGGGATGTAATCGATATCGCCAAGGCACACCCGAACTTTCCAGTGATCATGCAATGGACTGGAGGGCGTGGGGGTGGTCATCACTCGTTTGAGGACTTTCATGCACCTATCCTGAGCATGTATGCCGCTATACGTAGATGTACCAATATATATCTGGTGGCAGGGAGTGGATTTGGAAGTGCTGATGATATCTACCCTTACCTAACGGGCACTTGGTCCGTTGAACTCGGGTACCCCAAGATGCCCTTCGATGGAGTCCTGCTGGGAAGTCGCATGATGGTGTCCAAAGAAGCACATACATCCCAGGCGGTGAAGGAGCTGATATGTAATACACCAGGGGTACCCGACAATGAGTGGGAGAAAACGTATACAGGCTCTGCAGGAGGCATCGTCACTGTGAAATCAGAGATGGGGGAGCCTATACATAAGATTGCCAATCGTGGAGTCATGCTATGGGCGGAGATGGATAAAACCGTCTTTAAGCTTCCGAGGGAGGATCGGATCGCCTATCTTGAGAAGAACAAAAAATACATAATCGAGCGACTCAACTCTGACTACGCCAAACCCTGGTTCGGCCGCGACTCGAAAGCCAATGTGGTCGACATTAGCCAGATGACATATATTGATGTCCTACGCAGGTTGGTGGAGCTGATGTACGTCGATCATCAGAAACGGTGGATTAATGCGTCGTATACCCGTTTCGTCCAGGATATCGCTTTCAGGACATTGGAACGATTAGCCATAGGCCATGGAGAAGCAGTATCCACCTCGGTTTTGGAAGACGACCCACATTTGTTCCTGGAAAGCCTTGTAAAGGTGTGCCCCTTGGCGCGCTTCCAGCTCCTCAGTCCAGAAGATGCATCCTTTTTCATAGCAAGATGCAAACAGGGGGGGCAAAAGCCAGTGAATTTTATCCCGACCCTTGACGAAGACTTCGAGTTCTACTTCAAGAAAGACTCCCTCTGGCAGTCCGAGGATCTTGACGCTGTCGTCGGCCAAGATGCTAGCCGAGTTTGCGTGCTTCATGGCCCAGTGGCCGCCCCATACTCCACACGATCGGATGAATCTGCCCAGGACATTTTGGACGGAATTGTGTACGGTCTAATTGACCGATTCCAGAAAGGTCGTCGAAGAATTGGCGTAGGGTGCCAGCCGGAGAGTCGCTGTCAGACTCCTGACTCCTGTTCCGCTGCCTCTAGTGGACCAGAATCAGAGGTTTCTGAGGCTGAGAGCGAGACCTCCGTCGCGTCCAGCACTCTGGAGCAGCCTGTTCATGCTATTCTAGGCGCAGTCCATGGGTTGCTGTTTGACAAATATATTACGCAGGGTCACAAACGTACAGAGAACCCATTTCGGTCACTACTTGACTCCCCCCAGCACATCGCCAAACATTTCAATTATGAAAGCTCTGAGTTAGTGGTCTCGGCACCTTCCAACTCTAAATCAAAGGAATACATTAAAATCCAGTGTCACGATGGTCAAGACATTGCAGTTGAGGTACATCAGCCTAGTGCATATAGTCAGAACTCGGTTGTGTTACCACTCAGGTATCATTTCGACGGAAGCAGCCGAGCTATAACCGAAGTCATGGGAGGTCGAAATGAACGAATTAAGTCTTTTTACAGTAAGGTATGGTTTGGCAGGGAGATTGACCCTAATCTGACTGTTCATTCCACATTTCACGGCCCAGAGGTGACTTTCACCCGGCGCTTGCTGACGGATCTATCGTTGGCAACTGGGTGTGCTTTCGAGAATAAAGACCTACCGTTTTCAAGCTCTGATACGCTGCCTATTAATGTTGGTATCCTGGCTGCCTGGGAATCCCTAACCCAGCCACTCGTGCTAAAGGATATCAGTGGTGATCTTCTAGCTCTTGTTCATCGATCAAACAAATTTGAGTATGTGGAAGGGGCCACTCCATTATCGTTGGGTGATACAGTCACATCGACGGCTCGTGTTAAAGCCGTCACAATCGAGGCTGCTGGCAAATTGGTGGTCGTTCAGGCCATCATCTATCGAGCCGCTGAAGAGGTGATGGTAGTAACATCTGAATTCCTTTTTCGTGGAGAGTTTCATGACTATGAAACCACCTTCAGACGTACAAGGCACCAAAGGTGGGCGGTCAAAGCGTCGTCGGACGAGGATGAGGCTGTCCTCCGTGACAGGGAGTGGCTTCACCTTGATAATGACTCGTCTTCTATCATTGGACAACCACTTATATTTGAACTGGAATCCTTTGTCACCTACCAGAGCATAGCCAAATTTGGAAGTTTGCAAGTTCAAGGCTCGGTCTTTCTCAACTCAGGAACTGGAGAACGACAGAAGATCGGCTCAGTAAGGTTCCAATACGGTCCATGCGTTGGAAACCCTGTCCTCGACTTCCTCGAGCGCAAAGGGACCCTTGTGTCAGGAGCTCGGGTGGAACTGGAAAAGCCGGGTTGGTCTGGGAAGTCTTCTATCGACGTAAAGATGCCGAAGGACGGCCATCAGTACAGTGACGTTTCAAAGGACTACAACCCAATTCATACGTCACCGACGTTCGCCCGACTTGCAAATCTTCCAGGGACAATCTGCCATGGCATGTATACCTCTGCGGTGGCTGCTGCAGCCTTTGATCACCTTGTGTTGGATGGAGACCGACAAAGATTTAGGCGGTTTGAGGTGTCGTTTGTGGATATGGTGTTGCCGTTAGAATCGCTAGCGGTCCATTTGCAACACATTGCCATGGCGCAAGGCCGAATGTGCTTCAAGATTGAAGTGGTTCGGAAGAGCGATTCTAGAAAGGTCATGGAAGCTGATGCGGAAGTGGAACAACCTGGGACAGCCTATCTGTTTACTGGTCAAGGGAGCGCGTCCCCTGGTATGGGTATGGACCTCTACAACAGCAGCCCATTAGCCAAGGCCATTTGGGATGATGTTGATAAGCAGTTTAAGGATACCTACGGTAAGTGGCCTTGCACCCGGTGTAGCTTTAGACACTATCGCGAGAGCAGAGCGCTAATGGAGTTACAATCTTGTAAAGGGTGGTCATTACTTGAAATCGTCAAGAACAACCCCAAACACCTCACGGTACACTTTGGAGGTAGGAAGGGAAGAGCTATCAGAGACACCTACCTGTCCCTGTCGGCTACCGTGGTTCTACCGGATGGCAGCATCACACAGCGCCCTCTGCTGCCAAATTTGACACCCAAGTCCGCATCTTACACTTTCTCAGACCCTCGTGGCCTGTTATTTGTAACCATGTTCACCCAGCCTGCCATTCTCGTGCTGGAGAACGTCGCCTTCGCCGTGCTCAAGGCGAAAGGCTACATTCACGAAGGAGCCATGTATGGTGGTCACTCTCTTGGTGAGCTAGCGGCTTTGACTTCCCTCCTCGACCGGGTCTCGATTTGGTCCATCGCGCAGATTGCCTTCTATCGTGGGCTTATTATGGGGTATTCTTCAAACACGGGAGCCACAGAGGGCGCTGAATTTAGTATGGTAGCCGCGAACCCAAAACGGGTTGGCAAAGGTAAGTTTGGCTTCGGTATCTCCCGCACCTCTGGTCTAATATGTACAGGTTTCACACCTAAAGACCTGTCCGACATCGTTCGAGCGATATCTGCTGAAAGCCAGCAGCTGCTGGAAATCGCCAACTTCAACGTGGAAGGAGAGCAGTACGTCTGCACAGGAACTGTAAGTACATCGGATTAGGCTTTCCTATGGGTGAATAGCGTAGGGACAATACTCATATTGTGACAGACTCCCAACCTCTATGTCCTTGGGAAAGTTCTTGACCATATCGCGCACGGCAATCATCCACTCCCCAGCGTGTCGGAGAAGGAGCCCCCAGAGGCTTCCAATAGTCTTCAAAGTATCATCGCAGGCCATGTACAGGAAAGCAACAGGCTCCCTACTCCAATCAAGCTGGAGCGCGGTCGAGCAACCATTCCTCTGCATGGCATCAATACGCCATTCCATTCAAGCCATTTACGGACTACGGTGGATGACTATCGTTCATTACTGCTTCGATCTGACGTTGTTAATTGGCGAGGAGAGATTGGAAAGTTGGCTGGCCGATATGTGCCCAATGTCATCGGCAAGCCTTTCTCCTTGGAAGTGGATTACATCCAGAAGGTATTTGACATCACCGGGAGTCCTGTTCTACAAAAGATACTAGGGAGTATCCAGTGATGCAAGGTCTGTTGTGATCCACATATACGGTAGATGCATACCCCATATCTTTCATTGCTTTCTTTTAGTCTTGTGGTTATTTTCGGGGGAGCAACTATGGAGAACTGGTGTGCTTCTATAGATATGTAACAATCTACGCGTTTGGGTGTCTGTTCCCTTTGGTTCACGCATAGGATCTTGAGGTGCCACTAGGAATCGACAATCGACTATGCATTTGCTCGACTACTGTGGTCTTGATCAGGGTATTTAGGGCATATCCTTGCCAGCCATTCTTCCCAGGTTGCTTTTCGCACAATGTGATACCCAGATGAGGCAATAGTACACAGCTGCAATGACCCTCTACATCTAGCAGGACGGCAATGGAAAGAGCATACGGCTGGCCTTCCCTATCTACAAGGCAATCTGGCTCTACAACCCGCCCAAGCTCCACACGTTCCAGCAGCCTGCGCGGCAAGCTTAGCTTACAACTAGTTCTATGCAAGATTGTACCCCTTGAACTGAAGGTTCGCACTATCAGCATTCCACGACTGTGCAGTCAGCCAGCCACGGTCGCTTGACCGCTTGAGCCGAGACCTACGAACCTCACCGACCCCACCCAGCAGGTCATGGCCATACTATAATTCTAGTTGATGCCATATTTACCGCTGCGAGGTGAATCACGCTGTGGCCTGAGGTAAGGGACCGCATATCATTTAGCATGTCTCCCGTTCCGAGCGGAAGTTCACACCGACACTGCGTAGCCCGTAAAAAGGACGGAGAAAAGTACGATATCATAGTACTGTATTGTAAATATGCAATGCAAATGGGAATGAGTCCAGATCTGTTCGATCCCCGAAGTAGTATCCGTAAATAAGATTTTTTTTTCCCTTTCAAACCCCCACCTAGACCAAACCGAACGAGAGCAAAAAGAACGAAAAGAAAAGAAGTGAAAAGAAAAAGACAAAAAAAAAATAAAAAAAATGAAAAAAAAAAAAACAAGAAGAGGATTGCATATGAGATATCATCTACATGATTGGGGAAGAAAGTGCCACGTCTTCCATGAATTCCATAAGCAGTTGATCGGCAGACAAAAGTTTGTCATGGCCCCATACAGCTGAAAAACCCTGACGATGATCTGATATCAAGCTTATTACATCAGGCGTGAACTTAGTTACGATAGAAAGAGGAAAGAAGAAGGACCTGAAGGGAAATTTAAAGGGCAGATTGAAAGTTTCGCCGCAGTATTTTCTACCAAGTCTTACAGTTGCATTCATAGGCAGAATGATATATTGAATTGAATGATGACCACACGCACTTGGATCAAAGCTTTCGCCGACGGATGTCCTTCTCCTGCAATCACCATGCCTATCTCGGGTACGCAATTGACATCCATCCCGGGGACGACGGAATCCGCGACAAGCTCGGCTGCCAACGTGGGCACAGACGACCTTCCCCTTCGAAATGCGTGTGACAGTTGCAACGCGGCGAAAGTGAAGTGCTCTAGGGATAGGCCATCCTGCCGGCGCTGTCATAGCCGCAACATTTCCTGTGTATATGGGGTGTCCCTACGAGGGGTTAAACGTGCAGCAACATCGAAGCGCACCGAGAACAACTTTCTACGCACCCCTCCGCTACAGGAGCCGTTTTCCCCCTCGACGACTCCCAGCTTTCCTGAGGAATTACTCCAAGATTGGGAATATGCCTTGCCCGCCGATTCCTTCCCTGGCAAGGAGATCGACCTGGATAACCGATTTCATCTTCTCAATCCTCCGCTGGCCGACTCATACAACCTGGCCGGCGTTGCTGCCAGGGCTACTAATTTACCTACCCATCCGAATTCATCGACCTCCACACCACATGCCTCATTATTTGGCACCACTTGCCACTGTCAAAGTATCCTAGCTCAGAAGCTGGCGAATCTTAGTGTTCGGCCGCAGTCGGATACGGTCGCCTTTGACGAGTTCCTAATCAAGCACAAGGCGACCATGGCTGTCTGTATCTCGGTGCTAGAGTGTACCAGTGCCCATCATAAACAGGGGATCCTGGTACTGGTGGAACTCGTCGCCTTATTAATCCATATTCTGGAAGGGTTTGATCAGGTAATATGTGGGCTAGATAGCCACGGAAGACAGTCCCCCACGTCCGTGCGACTTTCTCTCGGGTCGTATCAGCTTGACCACGGGGAAGAGCGGGTTTTACAGGCCAATCTTCTTCGAATTGAGCTGGCCAAGGTCGGAACGTTAATACAAAGCCTCAATCAACAATACAGTCCCACGATAAATGGTACTCGGACCGGGGACATATCCCTAATATCTCCGTTACTCGCGGATCTGAAGAAGCAAGCTCGTGCCAAGTTCGATCGAATTCGGGGTTGGGAACCGTGTCTCTGAATCCACTATGGATTTTACGAAGTGGATGTATAATTTAATACCATTTCCGATCTGGCTATTGGACTTACTTGATTTTCAGCTGGCGTTGAGCACCAGCCTTGCCTCCTGGAGCCCTCCTTGTTCTCTTTCTTCTCGTTCTTCCTTCTTTTTTCCTTTTCACGGCGTGGGGTAATGATATCTCGGTTATGTCACGGGTTGTTTCTTGCTTTCTTTGGTTGGGTAATGGCCATGGTATTCAAGACTATGCATGATGATGTACCTAGGCCGGGACAACATATCCAAATCTGCGGATTTGGAAGTGTCTCGGATAGACAAATAATACAAACATGTTCAAAACTGGGACGGTATAATTATCACCCGTAGTGACTGATCTGTTTCAGCAAGCTATACATCCCCTGGCAGGATAGATTGGGTGGATTTAGCGACGGTTGTGCTAATGAGAGTTGAGGAACGTCGCATCGTATCTGCCCGGGTTTGGATACAAATACACAGATAAGAGATAGCATCTCAGCTATCGGGCATTCGCAGATATGCGCCAGTCTAGATCCACCCAAGGGAAGACATTCTCCCAACGGTGGATTGTTTTTTGGTTCGTTGCAGCATGTAAGTATTAATCATTTCGGCTACTGCCATTGGTGTGGTTGGGGACTCGAATATTTGAGGCCCACCGGCGGACTTTGGGGGACAGGACAGGACGGGGGACCGCCAGGGAAGATACAGACTAGCCCCGGGTTCTTGTTCCCCCAGAGAGGCTGTGAGAATGGATCTGTGAGACGCTTCTCGAACCTCTCACATGGCCGGCGATGCCGTATCCATCGGTGAAGGCACCTGGCGGTTAAAACCGACCGGCGCGCGAGCGAATGCGGGACGCCGAGAAGGCCGAAAACCGGCGCCTCTTCATAAGTGTACCACTTGGGCGAGTTCATATCCAGTTATTAATGGTTCCCCAATACGGAGTTCTACTAGCTCGTTATCAACAAGTGACCATGGCACCAGCAGAACACCCACAGGTTGTTTTTGGCACCGCTTCCTTCGGCACAGGATCCCCTCAGGCCAAATTCTACGATGAGGCAACCGCATCTCCCATCCTGACCACCCTACAGGCGAGAAATATTACTGTCCTAGACACGGCTCGGGCGTACCCCGTGGGGTCCCCGGGTACCTCGGAGAAGATCCTCGGGCAGCTGCGAGTTCCTTCTTGGGCCACGGTCTCCACCAAAGTCCTGTCCTGGAAGCCTGGATCCCACCAGGCGGATCGAGTTAAGGAAAGTATCACGGCGTCTCTCGAAGCGCTCCAGACGGATCAGGTGGATATCTTATATCTCCACGCGCCAGACCGGGCTACCCCATTCGAGGAAACGTGCCGAGCGATCGATGCTGAGTACCGGGCCAGGAAATTCGCTCGGTTTGGTTTAAGCAACTATACCGCAGAGGAGGTCGAGGAAATCGTGACCATCTGCGAGAAACATGGTCTGGTGAAGCCGAGTGTGTACCAGGGCCGGTACAATGCCATCATCCGCTCCGCAGAAGCACAGCTCTTCCCTGTTCTTCGACGGCACGGGATAGCGTTTTACGCGTACAGGTAAGACCAGAACTCGATCAACCATGCAGCTGTGTGATAGTGGTAACTTCAACTCTCCTTGCATGCTAGTCCCGCAGCAGCAGGCCTCTTCACTGGGAAGGTTTCGCCTGAATCCACCCTGCCCGGTTCACGCTGGGACAAAAATGTAAGTCACCCATCGCGGTGCTGATCAGTCCGCCACACTAACGCACCTGCAGACTGACATGGGCAAAAATTACCAAAATACGTATTTTCGACCAGCGGTCCTGGCCGCCGTTGACGAAACAGCAAAGGAAGCAGAGGCGGCGGGGATCAGTGGGCACGCGCTGGCCTTACGCTGGACGATCTACCATTCGGCCTTAAGCATCAGTATGGAGATTCTGTGATCATTGGTGCATCTAGCCTCGCACAGTTGGAGGCTAATCTGGACGCGGTCGAGGCGGGTCCGTTGAGTGAGCACTTGGCAGGTTTGGTTGACCAGGTGGGGAAGTTGGTTGGGGACGAGGCAGCTCCCTACCATCTGTAGGCATGGTATGTACAGTGCATCGCTTGCAATAGCCGTGGCATGATAGGGTTTGTCTATCTACTCCGCTACTAAGGTTTCGGGCAATGGTTCCTAGAACTGTCTAGTATCCCATCACGGACGAGTTCGGCATGTTTGGCGGCTGTTACTGGGAGTAGACTAGGTATAGACGTGCATACTGAATCCACATACGTCGCTGTCCGCTTGGGAAAAGAAACCCTTTCCTGGTCGGACGATGTGACCTGCCATAATATTCCAAGCTCTTGATCGCATATCACTTGGCCCAGACCACCCTAAGGCGGAGGACCACGGTGCTGAGTGAAAATTGGGTACATTAAAGCCCAGAACTGTAGGATCTAGAACTAATATGTAAGTAATTTACAGAATAGGACTCCAGAAAAAGGACCCGAGAGTAATAATCACAATAATACTAATAGCAATACTAATAATAACAATACTAATAATAATCTCGTATGTGCAGACACTCATCCGGTCTAATCAGTCGGTATCTCTCTAGGCCTTGGGTCGAATAGAGAAGGGATTGCTGAACAAGTCACTCTCGTCATATGCAGCCTTCACCTCAGCCAGACGATCAACATTCGTACCCCAATAGGCGTAATGAGGGTCGACCTGGATTTTAGCATCAATATAACCCGCGTAGGAGGCGCTTCTGTCACAACCACAATAGGGTTCGTTAGTAAAATGATCACGTTCGAGACCCATCGACGGAGATCTTACCCTAGTTTTGCAAGCATGAGCTGGTCCAGTTCGTCGATGAATTGCTGTCCTTGCTGCATCACCTCCACGTCCTCCACCTTGCTCACCTCCACGCGAAACATGATCTCCGCATCCTGAAACCAAGGAAATGCACTAGTTGACGGGGGAGCGCTAGACATGTTAAACGTGGTGATTTCAGCCCAGACACCCAGCTCAGCTGGCAACTGTCCGGTTCTGTCAATTATCCATTGCAGGTCCTCATCGCTGAGGCCGGAATGACCAAGCTTCTGGATGTAAGTCTTCTCCACGATTCCCAGATGAGGCCAGAGCATTGCTTGCGGCTCGTCCGGGAGAGCCGGTGTATCGTCAAAGCTGTACGAGACATTGTTGATGGGCACAATGTCATCCGGTACAACATTATAAAACAGGTTGCTCAGGGCGTGGGCCGTCTCGTCATCCGTACAGGTTTGCTGTGAGTACACCCAGAAGTTACGCGAATTTTCAGTACTGCAGTTTCCAGTAATGTTAAATTGTGCGCCGGGAACAGCAAGAAGTCCAGACTCCTGCATGAGGGCATCCAAGTTACCCTTCGACTCTCCGATATACCAGCCCAGGATATTGGCACGGTCGCCGTACAGATTGAGCTGAGAATTGAACCGAGGGTCCTGTGCCGGCGCCCAGTTGACGAATGTTTTCAGAACCTCCAGTCGAGACTCCTTGGGGGCGTTCATGGACAGCATCGCCGACCGAGGTATCGTCGTGAGTTTCAATACAGCTTCCACGGTGACGCCGAACGTGCCACCTCCTCTCATCGCCCACCAGAGATCCTGGTTCTCTGTCTCGGATGCAGTGACGACGGTCCCGTTTGCCAAAACAACCGTAGCGGACTCCATCCAATCCACCGCAAGACCGTACTGGCGCATTTGCATATTATACCCTCCCACACTGACATATCCACCTAAACCTACAGATGGACAGATCCCGGCAATCCAGGTGCGGCCGTACTTGCCCAGGATGCTGTAAACGGTGCCGAGTCGTGCACCTGCGCCAACAACCGCTGTATTTAAATCCGACGAGGGTTTAACATGGTCAATATGCGAGATATCGATCACCAATGTCCCATTGAGCGCGGACCAATTCTCGAAGCTTTTTCCAGGGTCAGCTACGTGCGTGAATCAGCGCGGAGACGGGTGGCCTTACTGATGCGCTCCAGACCGCGGTGAAACGGTGTATCCATTGTCATAGCCACACTTGACCAGCTTCACTACTTCGTCAATCTCAATAGGGTATGTTACCACTGCTGGGTATTGGCGGGCCCTTTGGAGAGTTAGCCTGGATCTAGAGGGCTTGGGATGGCTTAATTACAAGATGACCCCAGTCGACACCGTCTCATACTCCTTCCTATCCGGAGTCACGATCCGGTAATCATGCAGGTATTCCTTCAAGGCACCCCGCACGCATTGCAGAAGGTTGTTCCCGGCTGTGCTTGGATCGGGGGGTTGTTGTGCCACCTCCAGACCCGCAGCGAATGCAAGTTGCACGCCGGAGAGAATCGACACAACTTCGGAGAAATGGAACCTCATGGAGCCGACTAAATACAATCGTCTGTGAAGGTGCGTGATTCCTATAGCTAACTGATGACCGGATTCCGTGCAGATATCGTCTATGGCGCTGTTATATAGCACTCGACGGCGGGGCAGTTGTCCTTAGGCTACGAAGCCCCTTTTGTCGTTTCCTATTCCCCTGGTTTCCTTCTTCTTGGCTTCTACACATACCTACTATTTCCGTGCCTGCGACGAAAGAAAAAGCAAAAACTACCCCTGACCAATACGGCGATTGCCCGATGATCGCCTTTCCTTGTATGGGTCTTGCAGTGGGGGTAGAATACTCTCACTCCACTAGGGGGCGGAGGAATATTACCACAGTGGCCAGTGCAGGAGCACCGAATTGAGATATCATCGATCATCATTCCCGAGGCTGAGCCAGCCATGGTCAAGTCCGAACCACCCTTCCTCTTTCTCTTTTCTCTCGATACTATTTTCAACCCCTTGGCGATTATATGCTGGATCTATGTTTTCTTACCCCGCCAATTTGGCCAGCGAAACGACTGCCACCTCCCAGAAAGTGGAAGCTATAGTCACATGAGTCACAGCCCCATGAACAGAAAACCAATGAATTTATTTTCTGTGCATGAAATATCCGCTGCTGGCAATGACAGTTCGTAGAAGTTACTCTTCGTCTGCGGCTGTAGTTGCAGACGACCCTGCATATTACCGCTCACATCGATAGGCAGGGGCCAGCCCAATCAATAGATAGTGGAGCAATGTCTTGAAAATAATGACCTGTTGAGCACTTACTCCAATGGAGATAGCCATTTGGAGCTCACAAAGTAGTAGCTAAAGATACATTGTACGAGGAGGATCCATTGATCTAGCTCTAGCACGAGAGAATGGCTCGACGAAGACGATATTTCCCGAGTGAAGCTCTGGGTTATCGTATATCTTGAATACAAACATCACAAGCAAGAATAACGTCAGGCCTGTGTAGAGACTGGGCCGTCACAAATACCGAGTACAAGGTGAACCATTTACATGCGTGGCCGATGGGGACGACAAGTGATGCAAGGGTGAGAAATACTCTAGCTGCCTTGGCTCCCCACCAACATCTGGGGTTATATTATTCTTGGTTCTTTTGGGCTTGAAGCTCTACGTTCCAGATGACAGTCCCTCGTATCCTCGCCCTCACGCTAGTCGAACTTGCCAGCAGCTCCCCGAAAAACCCTCTCAAAGTCATATTCATTCCAGCGCACTAATGTCTTGATCCCCGCCCATTTCCATACCCCATCAACCTTCCGATACGTAGTTGTCACCACTCCATGTCCATGGCCCTTCGCCGCCACAGCGGCCCGTCCCTCCTCCCACCGGACATGAGCAGCCCTCGATTGGGAGTGACTGACAATCTCATCGTCCGACGTTTTCTCCCACTTGGTAAGGCCGAGCATATGCTGAGAATCGATATTGGGATCGCCTAAGAACAGTGGGTCCTTCATCATCTCGACAAAATCGTCCGCGGGCAGATCAGAGAACTTGGAATTATTGACTTTGTTGTAGTCAATCTACATGGATTCAGCACTGAGGGTTACTAAATCATCCGGAGATTGGGGCCCGGCCGTTGGTGCCATACCGTTAGAGTAGGGGCGAGAATAGACCGAAGGCGTGCCCAGTCCTGTAACTCGGGTTAGACAAGTGAGAGATGAACCTAGGTTTGCGGTCCCCCGCGGGGGAGAGACATCTACCTTGGAGTCGTAACTTTCCGCCCACTCATATGCTAGCTCACTGACCTCAAGCCATTCTACACCCTCGAAGATTCGTTAGACCCACTCAGGAATGGGTTGCCTGGCGCATAGTGCTTATTTACCTTCAAAGGTTGGTTTGGTAGTAGGTGCCATGGTATGGAATTTCGAACGTATAACTCTGGATACAGAAGAGCGAGCTCCAGTTCACACAGTAAAAGTCTCTAGTGATATAAAATGATACTCTACTATTCCCAACATTACGGCCCGTCCGCATCAAGGCCCTCGCACCGTCGGCTTGAACCTCGCGAATAGTCCTCGGTCTTCGGCCCAATGGCGAAACCTGCAATGCGAGCGGTCGGTATTTGTTTTTGTGATCAGTCAGAGCACAGGATGACAAGTGATACGCAAGCCCGACGGCTTGCGTATAAAGAGCGGAGGCAGGCATAGAGCTGCTCTTCCAGGTAACAGTCCACACAGATCAACTCCCAATCAGTGACCAGTGTCCGGAGCTCTCTGTTCCATCATCACGGCCCTCTTCTTGCATTCGAAATGTCCACTGCAACCCCACTAGGCGGCAAGGTCGCCCTCGTCACTGGATCCAGCCGCGGGATCGGCGCCGGGATTGCACGGGAACTGGCTCTCCGTGGCGCCGCGGTGGTCATCAACTACCGAAGCAACGCCTCCACCGCGCAGGAGCTGACCGACGATATCACAGCCAAGGGCGGTAAGGCGATCAGCATCCGGGCCGATGTTTCCAACCCCCACGAGATCCAAACCCTGTTCCAAGAAGTCCAGGCCCGATTGGGCCAGATTGACATCGTCGTTTCCAACTCTGGGGTCGAACATTTCGGCAAGCTCGGCGAAGTCACCCCGGAACAGTTTGACCGTGTCTTCAGCGTCAACACCCGCGGCCAGTTTTTTGTCGCGCAAGCGGCCTCCCAGCATCTGTCCGACCATGGCCGTCTCATTCTCACATCCAGTATCTCGGCCCACGTTTCGCTGGCGGAGCATGCGGTCTATGCCGGGAGCAAATGCGCCGTCGAGGCATTTGCGCGGTGTTTCGCGCCAGAATTGGGGCCCCGAGGCATTACGGTCAATAGCGTTGCGCCCGGTGGGGTGAAGACGGATATGGCCGCAGAAGTCGGGTACAAGTACATCCCCGGGGCTGATGCGTCGTGGACCATCGACGATATTGAAGCCTTCGTCTCCGCTCGGACCCCGATGCGTCGCATGGGAGTCCCCACCGATATCGCCAAAGTGGTGGCTTTCTTGGCTACAGAGGATGCCCAATGGCTCAGTGGTATGTGCTCCTCTTCCCGAATCCCCGAGACTTATGATTTATCATCTTATCATGTATCGTGTCGCGGCCCAAATCTGACAGGTGTGCGTTTTGCCAGGTCAGAATATCACTATCTCCGGCGGGGCATCGGCGTAGCCTTGCATAAAAGGCCTTTCCGCGATCTGCAATCATTACCCTTGCTTCGTACGGAGTTCAGCGATCAGATTACATGCAATAACACAGTGATACTATTATTAGAAAAAGAAAAAAAAATTTCCCTCATTCTTGGTTACCATTCGTACGGTCAATTTCCGAAACAGGGATTTCAGGAAAATGTTTTGACACCTCTCAGGCCATTGTGGTTATTGCTACTAGTAGATTGACCCAGACTCAATCAGAAAGTTTATACTCGATGTAGCTTACGATTTAGGACGTTACCGAAAGATGCTAGAGGGATGGTTGCTGATATTTACATCGCATGCCGTACGGAGGCGTGCACCAAAAGCCCTGGGGCTGACGCTAGTAACATTGGCCTAAGGCAACGTAACGCGCTTACTGCACAGACGAATATAAAAATTAAGTACATGTCACCACGTGACTGATGACCAATTATATCCTATTTCAAAATGGAAAAGCGTTCTCCATTGGATATACACCACGTGATAAAGTTACCAGTGTCAGCGCCAGGACGTTTGGTGCACACCTCCGTACGGCGGAGTGCTATTCGTAGCTAGACGGGATAGTTATGCCCATCCTCGAAGAGAGCTATACTCAAGAGAAGTATGGAGATTGAGATCCATTGATGCTGATATGAGGCTGAGTTTGCAACCGTCTTCTGAGAGCTACGGTACACGGACTGGTCAACACAGTGTTTTTTGCACCTCCTAGAAATCAAACTAATCAGCTATTGCCTATACTACCAAAAATGCATGAAAGTTCTAAAGCTCCAGCGAAGCAAAAAGGAAGTATCTTATTAGTAATATTAGCTTTGAAACATTAGAAATTTGCTAGTAATCAGAAAGCTTTATGTCTTTTCAACATTATTTTTTCTAACCATCTGTTCTCCGGGGGTTCGTCCACAGTGTCTGTGGGGTTCTCAGGGCGGGTTTTCAAGAGGTTCGTAGAGTGGCGAACGGTTAATCACCACCCGGACGAAAGACTGTGTACTGGGTAACCCATCTCACAGAACATGGATTTTTTAGCGTTTATAATATCTTGCAAGCTGGATATTCTAGGCCACTGCGGTTAGTCTCAATGACGGAACTAAATTGTAAAGGGTTTTATATCAATCCGTGTAGAGCTATTTTACGATTATAGGTTCGGGTAGTGATACGAATATATATATACTTGTTTCTATGCGTGTAGAAACATCCGGATGGATCATAATCTCGCCATCTCTTCACCAGACCGCCGCTACAGATGTAATTATGTTACAAGCATATCTTGTCCCTGTACCTAAAGCGCTATCTCCCAATCTACTCAGTGTCATTTTGGCGCGCGTGTTCTGAAGAACCACGGTTGGCACTAGGATCATATCGCCCATCTGTACGTTTGAGGCGTCTGCTTACTCATATGAAACACTGACTTGAGAAACGTTGGCATCTGAAATTTTAAAGTGTAAAGATTAGAGAGATGGGAGAGTAGGTTTGCATAGCTGTACTATGTCTCTATCAAAGCTTGCAATGTGTTTGTTGTTATCTCCTAACTCAAAGAATACGACCCCGGCGGCCTAGTATATATTGTATAGTAGAGAAGGGATATTAGGCCTCTGAGAACTGTAAGACATGATATGATTATTTATGTACTCGGAGTGAGGTCTAGGCCAAGCACTTACGATACACATCGGGATGACATATGAACCTAGGAGCCTCTATAAGGCTGAACGATAGCTACTGTATGGAGCGGGAAGCGCTTGGTAACCTTTAGCTTATGACAAAACTGCATTTTAATCGACAAAACCGATAATACTATAGTAAACCAAGGCAAGTCCTATTTGAATGCAGCGACGAGGCAAAACTTTCTCTATGGAAGGAATAGATTGGGATGAAAGGTCGTTATATAGATGATCGACTAATCGATTAGAGTATAACAATATTCAATGGCACGCTCAATTAGACTACGTCTAATGGAACATCGAATGAGCATTTACTATGATCATATTGGACGATATACTGCGCTACCCCTGGCATGTACCGATGGGATTATACATTAAATAGCCTACTTCAACGAGGAGAAAGCGGTGGCTTGCTTGATGTACTCCTCCCAAGTTGTCAATGGTTCGTCAACGATCTATGTTGCACAAATCAGTCTGTCGATTGGTTAAGAAGCAGGGCCGAAGTCTGAACTCACCGCGAGACTAGGCTCTAAAGCATCCCCTCCATAATACCCAAACTCCGACATCAGGCGCATATTCTGCAGCATCTCCTCTTGAATAATCTCAGGGGCACCGCCTGCAGCCATGATGCCCTTGAATGCCTCATGAGACAGCTGATTGAACTTGGCGTGCTTGCCCGTCTCGGGGTAGACTTTCTGAAAAGTAGCCACCATTTCCGCAGGAGTGGAATAAGTGGTCGCCCCGTATATACGTTTGCCTAGCGTAGCGTCCCGCTTGAGGAAGATTGCCTTGACAAACTTACCAGTGTCAAACTCAGCAGCAAAGAGAGGGACAGGCGTGTCATCCGGAACAGGCATGGAGAGTGCGTAGCTCCCAGTGGGGATCTGGCGGAAGCTCACCCCCGGGACATTGGACATAAAGAAGCCGGCGAGGAAGAAGGTAGCCGGAATGTCCAGGGACCGGATATACTCCTCGACCTCAGCCTTGCCGTCAAAGTGGTAGACTTTGGAAAGCACGCCGTTGGTAACTGCGATATAGTGAAAGTGTTAGCGCCGGGGGACAAGAGGGCAACGGGCGGAGGGCTGCGCACGTTTATTGATGTCGAGGAGACTACTCCATACAAGGTGCTGAACGCCTTCCTCCTTGCAGACCTCGGCCGTATTCTTCCCCTGCTGAACTTCTTTCTCCGCACTGAAGATCTCCCAGAAGTTGGTGACAGCGAAAACCCCATAGGCTCCCTTGATCACAGGACGCAAAGATTCTTTATCGTTCAGGTCTCCCTATGCGGATGGACCGGTTTAGTCGCTCAGGTCGAGAGATCAGGATAACATTGTACATACCGTAACCAGCTCCGCACCCTTTGCAGCCAATGCCTTCGCCTTGTCCGTCGAAACGTCACGGGTCACGGCCTTGACATGGAATCGGCTGGCTGCCGTGGGGTCACTGAGGATACTGTCAACAGCAGAGCCACCCTGCTTGCCAGTGGCGCCAAAAATGACAATAGTATCTTTAGCCATCGTTGCAAAAGTATGAGGACAAAGGGCTGAATGGTGGGGTTGTTGAGCACGGAAGTAGGGGAGAGGCTGGGAAAAAATAGAAAAAGCAGACGAGGCTCTGGGTTTGCAAAAGAGACCGAAGATTCTGCGACGGGATAAAATCATGGTCGGTGGGCTCTAGCGGCTTCCATGGCCATGCACAAGGTACAGAGACTAGTTTTGAAGGTGTGATGCGTGCTCGGACCGCGGAATTAGGGTCGATGCACGATGCGAAGACCGAACCCCGACGGTGGAGTCGCAAATTGATAGATCTACTGCCGGGCCCGAATGGCGATGCGCGAGGTCAAGTTATATATCATACGTGGCTGGGCGTGCGAACGCGCTACTAAGAAGGCACATGTGAGTTGTCGAGAGCATACCCAGCAGTCTACTCACGATGTCTATGCCTCCGAAAGACGTCGCTTTCATCGTCCTGGCTGCCTACGCCCCTGTGGGGGCTCTAAGCTTTTGGGGCATACCAGAATTGCTGCGGCGGTTTTACCTCTCCAATGCGCTGCCGCTCATGCTTCTCAGTCATGCCGTTCCTGTTCTTATCCTAGCCTTTACACGCCCGTCGTCGCCGGTGCGACTGGCAGTACTGCCCTTCGCGTCCGTCGCCAGCATATGCTATCACCGTCTGTCTCCGGAGGCCTTTCCCAATCGAAACCAAGCGGGTGGGTTAGACGGTCCGTTCATGCTTTTGTTTTTGACCGTGGTCGATGTGTTCGGGCTGCAGAGGCTGTACATGGACGACCGTGGCGTGGAGAGAAAAGGCCGACCAGATATCGGGAAAGAAAAGAAGGAACTGAGAGAGCAATCAGCTCTGTTGAAGGCCAGTCCCCAGAATCCATGGACGAGACTGAAGTGGGCGATGCATGTCATGTTCAGCTATCGAGCAATTGGGACATCCCGCCAAACACCAAACATACCCTCGTTCTACCCAGATATCCCGTCCCGTATGCGTTTTATCTGGAGCCAGTTAATCGCCTGTGTCTTGGGGTATCTGGTGCTCGACCTTCTGGCAAACCTTCGATTGGCGCCAGTGGAGGCGTTCTCTCCGGAGCGAGCAGCAATCTTTCTTTCTCCACAACTATGGACACTTGCCTGTTTGCGTCTGCGGCTCATCGCAACGTTCTTGTTCTGGGTTGACCGATATACGACCGTTCGGTTCATCTATGATATTACCAGTATCGTTGCTGTCGCAACGGGTCTCACAGAACCTAAAGACTGGCCTCCTTATTTCGGAAGTATCGAGAACGCATGGACTATTCGTCGGTTTTGGGCGTAAGTGTTTGACGACCGCGGGGCTTAATAATGTGCAAGGGAATCGAAACTAACATCAGTGGTACTGTTTAGCGTGTTCTGGCACTCTGGCTTGCGCAATCCGCTCTCGAGCAACATCCGCTTCATCGTCTACGATGTCCTCCGCTTGCGTCGACGCTCCTTCGAGGGACGAATCCTCACGGTGTTGTTGACATTTGGCCTGAGTGGAACGATTCATTACCTCGTGGATGAGGTTATTGGCATCCCGGGGTCTGATAACCGGGCCATCTCGACCTTTATGATACAGGCGGTTGGTATCACTATCGAGGACCTAGCCCAGCAAGCATACTTCAGACTTACCAAGCCGAAAGCATCGGGCAATACTGGACGGCCTGGGGAGGTGACAGCGAAGAAGGGAGAGCTACCGGAAACATGGCAGCTTGTAGTGGGCTACATTTGGGTGGCGGCTTGGGTGCTTTACACGGCGAGCTCGTACGCTTACTGCTATTTTCGCAACCCCCCTG